CGCGACCAGACTCGCCGAGTCTGACCACGACTCGACGAGTCGGTCTTATTTACAGAAAAAAAATATAATTTCAAAATTAATTTTACATTGGGTAAGTAGGGTTTTAACCCTAAAGAAATAGTTTCACATCTACACTCGTCGACGGGCCGCTTTTTGCAATTTCTCTCTCAAGCATTCATCAAGTTCTTCAAGTTCTTCCAAAATTCTCAAGCATAATCCAAAAAGAAATCATGTTCAGAAGGGGACAATCTTCGAGTGGTAGCCAAGGGGACTTTCCATGGCTAAACTTCCCGCAAATTGAATCCGCTTCAACAATGAGGAAGTGGAAGAAGAAGCTCTCCGACATTAAGAAGAAGGAGGTGTATGTGCCGAACAGAATTGATTGGGAGTGGCTGCAAAGTGTTAGATATGAAGAAGAATTAGCTCCTTACCTTTTGAAGGAGTTCCAACATGAAGGCGAGACAATGATCTGCGATGGGTGGAGCCGGGTCTTCCGTATACAAGAGCCGGTCTATTTAGAGCTTTGCTTGGAGTTTTTCTCCACGGTATCTTTTACCGGGGGAGTGGATGTGTATCACCCGGCAAGCTTTACTTTTTGTCTTGGGGGCGAGTATCGTCAATGCTCGGTGGTGGACCTTGCCTGCCGACTAGGGATCTATGATCAACCCTTGGTGTCAACAAACATCTTTCGGGCCTTTTTGGCGAACACTCATATGGTGTTCCTCGATGGAGTAACAAGCACGGGTTGGTGGAATACCATAGGAAATAAAGTTTACATCCCAAAGTCTGCACAAGAAGGTAGCATCCGATCCCCAACTCACCGCCTCATTCACCGCCTTATTTCCTCCACCATCAACCAAAGGAAAGACGATGACAAGGTCTCCAACCTTGACGTTTTCTACTTATGGAGCATAATTAACACCGGCGTCTTTTGCAACATCCCTTGGTGTATAGCTTCATACCTTTCGGAGGGTGCGGTCAAAGATCGCAAAACCTCCCGTATCAATGGTGGAATGTTTGTCACCCGATTGGCTAATTCATTCGGGTTGATGAACCGCGGTGCCTGGAACTTCATGACATTGATCCCGACACCCCCGTTTAATCCCATTCTTTTCCGAAGAGCACGGATAATTGAAAACTATGGTGGTGGCCATTACGCCATCCCAAATGATGACCCCGTTGTTGGTCCCGAAGCACCGGGAAGGAGGGTAAGATCAAGAAGAGAACGGGATGTGGAGGACGAGCCGCCGGTGATTCCGGTCGAGAATGAAGACGTACCAATGGATTGGTACAATGTAGAGATGAGGCGGATGCAGGATCAAATGGCGAGGGGGCTGAACTTTAGCAACCAATCCCACATACGACTTTTTGACCACTTCAATATCCCACATATTGATGGTGGGAATTACCCATTCATTCCATCTTGGGATGAGAGGATTGGTGCGCGACGAAGTGGAGCCGGGGGAAGTGGAGCCGCCAATGATGATGAGGAGGATGAAGATTGATTTTTATATTTTTGTGTTTTTAATCAAACAATTTTAATTTTTTTTTGTTTTGTTTTTTTTTTTTATTTGGTGTGTATGCTTTGAGATTTTATTATGTTTAATGGTTGTTTGCTTTAGTTATTTTTCAGGATTGAATTATGATTGCTTGCTTAGGATGGTTTAGAGATATAAAGCATGGATGTTTTCGCGAGTGAGAGCGAGTCAAGGAAGCGGGTTTTAACGTCAAAGTGTCGAGTCCGGTCCTAGGGGTATGAGCAATTGAGTCCGAATGTGAGGAAGAGTTAAAGAAGTTTTTAGAGGCTAAAACAGTTGCAAAATACCAAGATTTTTCGTTCAGTGGCCAACTCGTCGAGTGCACTAAGCTGACTCGACGAGTCGCCTTGTATTTCCACAAATTCTGAGAAGGCGCGCTGCTACTCGACGAGTCCACCATAAGACTCGACGAGTCGTTCAATTTCTATGCCGAAAGACTGCTGATTTGATGCTGATACTTGTACCACTTGCTTCCTTATTCTTCCATTCCATTCTTGAAGATCTTACACCGATTTTCGCATATTTGGAGCGACCCACACGAGACGAAACACCCAAGACATGGATGGATGTTCCCATGTCTAAAGTTGATTGAAGTTGGAGCTTAATGAGAGTGATCAACCTATCCACTGCTATCCCAGGGGAGTTTGTTCCAATTCCCTCTTTATTTTTATGTTTTTATGCATCATATGCAATGAGGGCATTGCATCATATAAGTGTGGGGTAGGGGGTTGGTTACATAATAGTCATTAGTCAAAAAAAAATTTGCATACCAAAAGTATTATTTAGGATTTAATTTAGAAAATTTTGGTAAAAAATTAGGATTCCATGTTAGAATTGTGTTGATAATTGCATGAAGACCCAAATGTTTAGTTGAGCCTATATACGTTCTAGTGCATTTGTGGCTTCCTTATTTCAGTGAAATCATGAGACAAAAACACGACCTTGCTCAGCCTGAGGGATGCAATATGTTTAGCAGCCTAAACCTGAAATGTATCCAGGAAAGTTTTTATCATTAGCCAATAAAGGTTGAGATTGAGCGCCCCTGCTTAAGCATGTAGGGATTTGAGTGACAAAAGTGAGGTATACATGTAAAAAAGAAAAAAAGAGAGAATTACAAGAAAAATTGTAAGAATTTTGGATCAAATGAAGTGAAGATTTAAAGATCAAAATTCCAAGAAATCCAAAAAGTTGAAGATACCAAAAGTCAATACAAGTTGGTGAATTCAAAGATATCAAAGATCAAATTATCAAGAAAGTGAAGAATTCAAAGAATTCCATAGTGGTATCGAAAAGTTGTAATTCTAGAATATGTATGCTTGGGTTGCTCAATTAAAAATACCTTGAGGGTAAAAAGAGGTTTTCTGAGGATGGATTCGGAGGGTTGCATAAAATGAGCATAGTTCGGGGTGAGTGGGCAAATGTTTATGAGGATTGTGAGTATTTGGAATATGGGGGGTTCTTTAGGAAAAATTTTAGACACAAATGCATGCGTTGCGGTCTTGGCATAATGGCTGGGTTAGATTGGAGTTATTATATGTGATTCTAATGTGTTAAAATTCAGTTTTGCTTGAGGGCAAGCAAAAGACAAGTGTGGGGTATTTTGATATGTGCATATTTAGTGTGTATTAAGTATAGTTTTTTATTCATATATTAGCTAAATTATTGCATATTATGGACAAAAGGTACTTAAAAGTGTTAAATTATGTTTTTCAGTCCAAAGATGAAGCTCGGAAGCGAAAGGAAGCAAGAGAAGCGGTTAGGAGCTCAAGAGTGGAATGAAGAAAGAAAACACCCATAAAAAGGCTTCTACTCGTCGAGTCGAGCCTGGACTCGACGAGTCCGGTCGCGGAATCAGAAGGATAATGATTCGGAAGTCAAGATAGTTATCGCAATACGGAGAATGTGAGAGGGACTCGACGAGTCACCATATGACTCGACGAGTCGGAACGCATATTTAAAGATAACTCCACAAATCGAGAGAGGAGAATTCTGGGAAGTTTCAGAAGTGCTTAGCTGCGAATAAGAAGCCAGAAGAACCCTAGAAGTCGACCAAGGAAGCTAGAATCCAATTCCGGGAGTAATTAAGGCATAATTTCATCATTCTACTTATTTCTTTTGTTTTGTCAACATGATTAAGCAACTTGAACTTATTTGTTTGCTGTTATTTACCTTAGTTATGAACTAAATTCTTTAGACTTCTGTTTGGGAATACAAAGTTGACAATATGGTTTGATTGATTGGTAGGATTAATTCCAAGTTGGTGAATTTTGTTATTTTAGCTTGCTAAAGAACCTTGTGTATGAATGATAATTAATTTTCTGTTAATAGGAAGATAATTGATTAGCATGAACATCTATTGATTATCAACCTCATATGATATGTGACCACTATATCATATGTCTAGAATTAATGAATATGAAACTAGGATTAATAAGGAGATCGAGTAAATTCATGTGCAAGCTTGTAAGATGACCATCAAACAAGAGGTTAATTAAGAATAATGAATTAATTAGCTATTGCAAGTCTAACTTAACCCGAATAATTAATCTAGTAAATATAATTAAATTAAGCAATTGGCCACTATTTGAGTTAGTTTATTTGCTAAGGATGAGGGTAGTGAACATGAACCTAATCACTTGAATCGGTAACCAACGAAAGAATTAATCCATTGCACTATTACCTTAAAATCAACCATAAAGTTAACTGAGTTGAACTAAACAGAAGTTTCTTTCCCATTATTGAATCTAGTTAAATTGTCATTTTCTAGTCTTTAATTAGTTTTAGTTAGTAAGTTTCTAGTCTTGTAAAACTAGAGAAAAATCCCTATTTTCTTAATCAAAACTTAGATAGAATTAGTTTTTAATTTAATTTGTCGTTCCCTGTGTTCGATACCCTGCTTATTTAGCTATACCACAATTGATAGGTTCACTGCCTTTTGTGTGTTATTTGATAATTAAAGTAGGATTAAAACTAGTTGGTTTTACACACATTAGTGTTCATAGATGACATTCTGATTTACTCGAAAAGCCAAGAGGAGCATGGAAGACACTTGCGAGAAGTGTTAAAAGTCTTGAAGAAGGAGAAGTTGTATGCAAAGTTCTCCAAATGTGATTTTTGGATTCGTGAAGTCCAATTCTTGGGTCACATGGTCAACCAGGAAGGGATAATGGTTGATCCAGCAAAGATTGAAGCTGTGATGAAGTAGGAACAACCGAAAGGTCCCACGGAGATCCGAAGCTTTTTGGGATTAGCCGGATATCACCGAAGGTTTATCCAAGGCTTTTCTTCGATTGCTACTCCATTAACAGCTTTGACCCACAAAGGAGCTACTTATGCTTGGAATGATAAGCATAAAGAAGCATTCGAGAAGCTAAAGAAGAAGCTATGCGAGGCACCGATACTTTCTCTCACTACTAGAAAAATAGCCTTTTACGACGCGCGAACCATGACACGTAGTGATTTATGATACGCAAAGGTGAGTGTCTAAAAAATAATGTCATCTCTTCCAAAATTTAAAGGATTTCAGACGCGCATTTTTGCGTGCCCTAAAATTAGTGTCTAAACAAAAAAAACATGGAGGGCACCTGCGTGTCGTCTACGACCGTCGCTTTATAAATTTTAATAGAACGCGCGCGTTCCATTCGGAGAAAATGAAATCCAAAAAACTTAAAATCCCCGCCTTCCTTTTTTTTCTCCCTCCACTTTAATTTCCCTAGTAGCTAGGGCTTTTTTTCAAGAACTTACCCCGATTGCCCTCCTGTACTGCTCGTTCTCTCTTCAACTTCCCTTTCTCTCCTTCTCACTTCGACAAACCCTTTCTCTTCTTCTCAGTTCTCGACGTCGACAGCTTCTCCCACCTCCTACGTTTCTCTTGGTGTTGGGGCCTCCCACCTCTGACCTCCGTCTAGCCCCACCCCACCGTCCAACGCTTTCCAGCGTCACCCAGCCAATGGAGCCCCTAATCTTCGGCAATCTCACCTTGCCTGCGCTTGCCAGCAACATCAGGTCCGGTGACCTTAGGGTCACTGCTTCTATTGCTCAAATTTACAAGCCCTATGTCTTATTAAGGTACGTTTATCTTGATTCTAACTTCTCAATGTTTTTGTTCTTCTATAAGATTCTCATGGCTCCTTTACTTTCCATCTTCGTGATGTTAGTGTTTGTACTCCACGTTGCCTCTGAATCCACGAGAGAAGTGGTAGAACAAATCGATGGAGAAGAATTCACTGGGTAATTGCTTTTCAGGCCACTTCCTGATCAGAAAGCTCTTTCTGATTTTCACTTCGAGAGTAGGTTTCCTCCGACAAATTCTTATAGACATCACCACTGGATTTTTCCCAAACCTATCTATTAGCTGGTATGATTACAATAGTTCGTTAGTTACTTTACTTGATCAGATTTATTTTTTTATCTAGGAATTATTTGAATCCTTAGGTTTAACAGTACCAAAAACTTTCTAATTGTTGCTCTGGTCCATCCTAATTGAGTATAGGGTTTAATGATTCATTGATTAGGATGATTTGTGAAGTTACATTATATTATTGTATTACTTTTTTATATAGATTTCAACCAATCGTATTTGTGGTCTAAATTAGTATTTGTGGTCTCATGATTCAAACAATTAATGTGCCACTCTGAAGCCTGAACGATGAGAGCACTAGTGGGTGGACCATTTCTAACAGCTTTTAAGGTTCTGAAAGCAACCATGGCTGAATTTTCAGCTCTTAATGGTCAAAGCGTTTCTTACGTTGTACTCTAGTTCCCTAATGGCACAGTTAACCCACCACACACCCATCCACAAGCTTTGGAGCCGTTGTTTGTTCTCATGGGTTCTTTAGAAGTTGGGTTTGTCGACACTACTAAGAATCCAGGTTTAGCACTCTCTGCATTTGGTACTACAAGCGTAGGGATTGTATCTGTTCCAAATTCAGTTTTCAATTCGACCTCATCAATGATCAGATATTGGCCATGTCATTCAAGACCGACGTTGCTACCATTCAAAAGATAAAATCCGGGTTTTCAGGCTAATTAAGTGATAAGTACTCGCTTAAAAATACCGCATGTTGTCCTTTGCAGGTAACATTTTTTTTAAATAAATAAAAAATAAGGAGCTTGGTGGGGGTTGATGTTTGTATTGTATGCTGTTGCAGTGAAATGGGTGCTCATTTTTCAGCTTGTGGGAGATATCTAGTTACTTGTGTTGCATGTGTGCTTCCTCGGTTTGAGAGCACTTCAATTACTGATTTTATATATATATATATATATATATATATATATATATATATATATATATATATATATATATATATTCTAATGATGATGATGTTTATCAGGTGCACTATTATGTGGATGAGGGTGCCAACCTATGAGCTGGCAACTGCTACAAGGGAGACCACTTAAAGAAACCAGAGAATTGGGCGTTGGGTAAATCTTTTAACAATTTCAGTCTTTTTTTTAATATATTATACTAAATTACTAATATTAATTATCATCATCATGGACAGTTGAAAAAGGCCAAGTACATCTATATTGCTGGCTTTTTCCTTACAGTGTCTCCTGAATCAATCCAGCTTGTAGCTGAGCATGTAGCTGCAGCCAACAAGGTAATAATGAATGAGTAATACACCGATTCGTATGAACTGAAAATTTCTTATCTTTCTGACATTATTACCCCCTTGTGTAGTTTTTCACAATAAACCTGTCAACACCATTCATCTGTGAATTCTCGAAGGATGCCCAAGAGAAAGCATTACCTTATGTGGATTATGTTTTTAGAAACGAAACTGAAGCAAGAACATTCTCAAAGGTTCATGGGTGGGAGGTAAGAAAAAAAAAATTGGTTAAAAGATGATATGAGTATGACATTGACAAACTTTTTTATATAAAAATTGGTTATGATGTTTTACAGACTGATAATGTGGAGGAGATTGCAATTGGTTAAAGAAAAGCCGATTGAGGAATGTGTGAGAGCTGGATGTTATGCCTCAAATGTGATCATTCAAAGATCAGGCTGCACCTACCTTGAGAAGCCTGACTTTAGCTAGATTTCTTCATGAATGTGGTGGATACTCGCCATTCCAATATAAGGAAATCTCGGGTAAATTCCTATTCCTAAAACAAACTTTGGCCTTATTTAAGAAAACCGTTGAGTTCGATTGAAAATGACAAAAAAAGTTAATTGTTTACATATCTGTGGGTGTGGATGAGTAATTTTATTTAATAAGTAATTTTTAGAGAATTCTTTATATTTTGGATTGTTAATGCAGCACCTTTAAAAGCTCCAAAATGGTACCAATGCAAAGCTGGAGTGTCTTTTGGTTTTGGTGGGAAACTAGCTCGTTTCTTTTCACACAACTGGAGCTTCAGAGGTAATTCTAATGGTTTTCCACTGCATTCTCTTTTGCAAATTGTGGGAAAAAGCAACATACTTTGCCTCTTTACCAATATGGCTAATGCATATTGATTCTAACCATATTGGTAAAAATTTAAGTCTGCATACTCACATTGGTAAAAAAGGAAAACTGTGTTGCTATTATTCATAAATTCCCTGTTATTTTTAGCTTAACATATTTTTTTCAATACTGTTTTCAAGTTGATGTGCATGAGTGGGTTATTGAACATAGTTTAGTTAGCACCTCATCTGAATTCGAAGCTGCATGAGTGGGTTCCATAAAGTTGGCATGAAGTAATTAGATTAAAGAACCTTTTACCCCTGCTACTTAGGACCTCTCATGAATTCTTTGCTTTAAAGACTCTTTTTCCCTTGCCTTTTCATCAGGTGCAATTAGACTCACTATAGATATTTTATATATAAGAGGAAAGAGATTCAAACTCATTAAGTCTCAGTAATTACAAACATGTCCTTCATCCTTCAATGTGTACAATTACAACTTCTATTATTAAATGCCTCAAGTGATAAAGGGATCTTTTGGGGGTTCTTTCTGGATTAACCAAGGAGTTCAACATCGACAAGTTTCTAGGTATATGCCCTTGTATAACTTGTTATAATTTTCTCATTTTACTGAAATTTATCATATTTCTATAATGTCACAGGCTAGGGTTCGACGTGCTACTGTTGTGAGTTTGGATGCGGACCCCTGTTTCAAGAGAATTGCATTCGTATAAATTATAATGCTGGTTAACATTTCTGTGTAAGTAACTATTTTATTCATATCTTGTTTCTCTCTCTCTCTCTCTCATCCAAATCACATTTCCTTTCTATAGTATCTCAAGTAGCAGCATAATTTCAAAGAAAAAGCACATCTGATGTGCTACAAAAGAGATTCACAAACTTGATTTTTTAAGCCTGATGTTTAAAACTACACTGAGTGTGAGATAGAAGTTTATGCAGAGAAGGAAAAAGATAGAAGTTTTTGAGGATGCTGCTGATGAAAAAGATAGAAGTTTTTTAGGATGCTGCTGATGAAGTTTATGCAGAAAAGGAAAAAAAGATAGAAGTTGTTGGCACATAGTAAGCTAGATAATGCAATTGTATATAAATGAGTTCATTTTTTTTTATAACATTTACTCACTATTGGAATAACTATTTGTATTTGACATATTAGTGAAATGAATTATATTTGTTATTTATGGTATTTTATTTTGTACTATGAGATTTTTAATGTATTATTTAATATGAAAAATTAGTAAATCTATAAATAATATTTTTTAAAACATTTAAAATTATGATACGCAAAAATGTGTGTCATCTTTATTTATGACATGGCCTTTCTTGACAGGGGCTTTCTTGATGCGCATTGCGTGTCATTAACACGCGCGTCGTAAGATTACGACACGCGAATGCGTGTCGTCTTCCTTTATGACAGGGCCTTCCTTGATACGCATTGCGTGTCGTAAACGCGCGTCGTAAATGAGCGTCATAAATGCGGGTCGTCTCTCTTTATGACAGGGCCTTCCTTGTCGCGCATTTGCGCATCGTCTGAGCCTTTTACGATGCGCAATGAGCGTCGTAAAAGGTTGTTTTTCTAGTAGTGTCTACCCGATGGAGTTGAAGACTTTGATGTTTATAGCGATGCGTCTGGGGTTGGGTTGGGTTATGTTTTGACCCAAAGAGAAAAGGTGATAGCATGTGCGTCTTGACAACTAAAGGAGCATGAAAAGAATTACCTGAATCATGATTTGGAGTTGGCAGCGGTGGTTTTCGCTCTGAAAATATGGAGGCATTACCTCTATGGCACGAAGTGCAATCTTTTCACTGATCATAAGAGTCTCCAATATCTGTTTAATCAGAAAGAGTTAAATATGAGGCAACGACGCTGGCTAGAGTTACTCAAGGACTACGACTGTGAGATACTTTACCACCCCGGTAAAGCTAATGTTGTTGTTGATGCTCTTAGTCGGAAAGTCAATGTTGAAAGAAGGAGGCCAAGAGCGTTGAGAATTGAAGTTGTCTCGACAATTGTGGAGAGTATAAAGAAAGCTCAAGAAGAAGATTTACAGAATAATGACCGAAAGGAGGAACGTTTGGGTAAAACATTAGTGTTCGGTATAAACAGTCACGGACTGAAGGTGTTCCAAGATCGGATTTGGGTACCTAAGTCAGGAGGACTAAGAGATCTTCTGATGGAAGAAGCTCACAATACCATGTACTCGATTCATCCTGGTAGCACTAAAATGTATAGGGACCTGAAACCCTACTACTGGTGGCCAACGATGAAGCTTGACGTTGCAAAGTATGTGGCCGAGTGTGTGACTTGTGCGAGAGTCAAGACACAACATCAGAAACCATATGGGAGTTTAGAACCTTTACCTGTGCCTATGGGTAAATGGTAAGACATTGCGATGGATTTTGTCACTAAACTACCCAGAACAAAAAGTGGTCACAACATGATTTGGGTGGTCGTTGATCGATTAACTAAGAGTACACATTTCATAGCAGCCAATGAGAAATGGTCTATGGAAAAGCTTGCAAATTCTTACGTAAAGGAAATTGTGAGGCTTCACGGTGTTTCGTTAACGATTGTATCGGACCGTGATAGCCGTTTCACCTCAAGATTTTGGAAAAGTCTACAAGAGGAAATGGGTACCAAGTTATGTTTAAGTACAACTTACCATCTGCAGACTGATGGTCAGAGCGAAAGAACAATACAAACACATGAAGATATGCTGAGAGCATGTACCCTGGAATTCCTAGGTAATTGGGATGAACATTTACCTTTGGTAGAATTTTCCTACAATAATAGTTTCCACTCAAGCATAAAGATGGCACCTTATCAAGCTTTGTACGGACAGAAGTGTCGTACGCCGTCTTGTTGGCTTGAGGCTGGAGAGAAGTATTTTATGGGACCCGAGATGGTTCATTAAACCGCTGAGAAGTTAAAAGTGATCAGGGAAACAATGTTAGCATCTCAAGATCGTCAAAAGAGCTATGCTGACAAAAAGCGAAGACCGATGACTTTTGAAGTTGGAGATTCAGTTTTGCTTAAAGTCTCGCCGTGGAAGGTACTTATAAGATTTGGGTAAAGGGGAAAGTTGAGTCCAAGGTTTATTGGACCGTTTAAAGTTCTTCAGAGGATTGGGAACCAAGCTTACAAGCTAGAACTACCAGAAGAACTGAATGGTATTCATAACACTTTCCATGTGTATTATTTGAGGAAGTTTATGGGAGAAGTTCCCGATATAATTCCAATTTCTGAATTGAGAATTGATGAAAACAAGAGGTTAATTGAAGAACTAGAGGCAATTGTTGACCGAAAGACTAAGAAGCTTCGACGCAAGATGGTCGAATTAGTGCTTGTCCGTTGGAAACATACGAATGGGTCAAATCTCACCTGGGAAACGGAGAGTGACATGTTGAGTCGTTGTCCGCATTTGTTTGTTGATGTGTGATTCTGGGGACGGAATCATCCTAAAGGGGAGAGAATTATAACGCCCGCGTTTCCATGCTAGGCATTACTGTTGATGTAATAGTCTAAGTTAACCTTTTTAATTCTTTTGAAGTATTAATGATGAAATATTTGAGTATTATGTGTTTTATGCTTAGTTGTGTGGCTTAATTGAATTAAGAATAAAATAAGCATCAAAATTAAAGTGCGAGATAATCCCAATATCTTTTCATTAAGTTGTAGTGGTCGAAACAAGGATTCCAGAGATATAAGGAATGCCGAAATCCGAGTTATAACGAAGAAGTTATGACCTGTCGAAGTTTCGCGATAGAAACGACACGAGGCCGAATGATGTAAAATATGAATTTAAGATAGAGCAATATCTAGCCTTAGTGATCTAAATGAAAGTCGTAGGGTTCTTTAAACCGAGAGCGTGCATAAAAAGAACGCCCAAATCTGACTTCGTATGAGGAAGTTATGATTTTTCAAAGTTTCAACTAAGCAGTATGCAGCTCAAATACTCGATTTGAGACCGAGCAGCTTTTAGCCAAAACAATCTGAATGAGAATCGAAGATCTCGTCGATAGTAGTGAAACGATAAAAAGATAGGTTAAAAAGGGTGTCGGATTAAGAAGTAATGAATTTATAACGGAGTTTTCCTGTCCTGGCCTACTAAAAATAAATTCAAAATTAGCCGACGGAGTCTAAACGAAAGTTGTAGATCGTAGTCTCACCTACACGTGGATATAAAGAACGTTGAAAATGGAGTTCGTATGAGGAAGATATGAATTTTTGTAGTTTATTAAATATTTTCGATATTTAATTTATATATATATATATATATATATATATATATATATAATATATATATATATATATATATATATATATATATCGGATAATATCCGAAGCGGGGAGGAGTCACCGTTCCGATCAACACTACGCCCAGCGTAGTGCTGTACGCCCAACGTACAACTCGAGTACTCCGAGTTCGTAAGCAATGACGTTGAAGCTCTGATGACGCAAGCAGTGACGACTTCGGAGGAGTACGCCCCGCGTAAGGGCAGTACGCCCAGTGTACTGCGAGGCCTCAGCCTCCTATAAAAGGGCATGCGAGGGCAGCCTTATTCTTTTGCCAAATTCTTCCTTTCTCTCTAGTTTTTTTTACTCGATTTGCGTGCCATTTATACCCCGAAGCCCCGGTATCATTCCCGAGCCCCGAAGCAAGTTCCGAAGCCCCGAAGAAGATCCCAAGAAGTACAATTCCCGATCCGATGCTCTGCCCGCGAGGAGTCCGGTTTTTGTGAAGATCTTCCAGATCTACGGAAGAATACTACTTCTACAAGCCGTAGTGCTGTCTGATCATCTTCTGATCAAGTGAATGTGTGGTTACTTTCTACTAACGCATAATTATGAAGTATTTTATACGAAATACGTGTTATGTGTATATTTTGTTGTTATATGCATGAATTTATATTCACTTTCTTCTATCTCATAGATACGATTTATTCTCTATGAAATACGTGTTATGTGTATGTGTCTCATCTGTTGTTTTGGAATATGTATTAAATGAGAATGCTATACAGGTTTTAAACTATGTATAAAAATATATATTTTTATCTACTAATATGTCGGGTAGAACATGAGTAGATAGTTGATGTGTGATAAACAGATGAGACGCCTCGATGTTGTTTTTGATTCAGTCATCTAGTGGAGTTTAGATGACGACCACAGACTTTTCTAGACAATCCTGTGGAACGCTAGCAGGTTTGCCACCTGTAGGTGTTAATGAACTTGGGTGTTCATTCATTGTACTCAATCCCCCTCATGGTTGCCTTATTTGACATATATTTCCGGGAAACCCCCGAATGCATATGTTGTCACCCCGATGAAATATTCTAAGACTAGGTCCCTTGTGTTAGTTGTTTTAGGGACGTAAAGTGAGAATAACGGGAATGGGTAATTGGGTTATTGTTGGTTGGTGGAATTAAATATAATTATTTATTGTGGGTTGAAAAGCCTATATGCTCACCAGGCTCCCAAGCCTGACCCACTCAGTTTATTTGTATTACAGGAAGTGGCGGAAGGGCATAAGATGGATGAACCATCAAGTTGTTTTGTTTACAAGTCTGTATATGTATATATTTGTTGAATGACTTGTAATGTTATCGTTTATGCTTTATGGTCTGTATCGGAACATGACATCCCGAGTTTTGATTATATAATGAAAATACATTTCTTTAGGAAATGCTTTGGTAAATATTATTTTATCATACTTTGTTTTTGGGAACAAATTCCGCAACTCTTTTAAATCAAAAGGATTTACTCTTAAATTATTTTAAAAGCATAAATGAAAATCGGTCTTTTCTGGCCGAGATTTTGGGGATGTCACAATACCATCCTTGTTCAATACCCTACACAAGGAAACCTCAAGCCTTTTAAGAAAACTAAAACAAATAGGAGTCATAATATGATCACAAACTCCTGAATGACTAAATATATGAGAAAGTATGATTTAAAACTTGGCTCTATCTTTATTCCTAGCACCAGTGATGCTGCAGCAGCTACGATCAAGATAATAAGTGTCAAATATTTCCAAGCTTCCCAAAGGAAAATTTGTGGTCAACATAATTAAAATACCCATGGTCGGCTGCAGTTGTAAATAAAAGCAAAGAAGAAATAGTTATTGTAGAGATATAACATACAAAGAAGCTTCTTCCTTTTTTCACAAGATAAGTGTTAGATCCAAAGGAATTTCTCCTGTTTCTTAATTCATCTTCATGTCTTTGTACTTCTTTGTCCAGATTGGTTTTCAACATCTCAGATAACCCTTGCACCTGAAAATATATATAGGTATAGATGTATATATAAAGAGGTTTTGAGTTTTGATAGTGAAGGAAAAATATGTTTGATAAGCTAAGTAACTTGCCCCTCCATATTGATTAAAAGAAGTTAGATTATGGTCCCTGGTCACGGAAACAAGTTGCTCAAGTGAAATACCATAACCACAACTTGGAGATGCAGGAATAATCGCAGTGGGCCCAAGCACTATATATATGAAGGGGAAATAGAAGGAAATTAATTATATGTAGAATGTAGCTAGCTCAACATAAGAAAAGATTATATTTATATCATAAGGGAACTTGGGGGACCAAATACCAACTGCATTTTCTCCAGCCAATTTGAATAACAATGCAGCCTAACATAAGGTGATCAGATGTTAAGTAATATATAACCAAACTTAGGATTGGGAAGCTATATATAAAAATTTATGGACAAAATTACCCTTATGAGTTGAGCATGTGACCTGATCATCCTTCTCCTTTTTTCCTGCTCTTCATTCTTTCTCAAGTCCAATGTGTATCGGAAGCGATGTGAAGCATTAAGCACAAGGGCAGCTTGTTGTATATATAGGACAATAAATTACAATGAGTTCAATTACTAAAGCTACATCCAGTAGTAGTAATCTCAGTATTTCAGCATATCACTTTCAGATCCAAAAAAGATTAACGATAACTACATTAGACGTGTTATTCATTTACTACGAGTGATAATTTTTTTTTGACCTTTCAAGATGTAAATAAACTCAAATCGCAACACAGTAGTAGGAGTGATTAAGATATGTATATGTTAGGTAAACATTTTGTCAGTGTGTCCAGATCCCATAGGATTCAGAGTATCTACTACTTTCCATAAAATTATCTTATCTGGCACGACAAATTTACAATTAGCTATCTCATCATGTTTAGAAACTAGTTTTACTCATGTATCAGGCAGGTAGGTATCTATTATCTAAGAGCCAGGCAAAATGTTAATATATTTAACCAAACCTTATGTAGTTATGCGTATTTAATGATTTAATCCTTTGAGATATGGAAAACTGAAATGCTGAAAGATGCTTACATTTTTCAAGAACTGACTGCACCAAATGTTGGCATCATTGCAGTCAGTCCCTATAAGATTGTTTAGTATATATGTTATTATTTATAAAACCAAGGGCAAAAGGGGAAAAGAGTATAATCTTTTTACCTTCATCTCCTCAATTTATGAATAACAAGAGATCATCAACACACACACACACGCTCATGATCCTCTTCAACTTCAACATTTTCAAGCATACCTTAAATGCAGGAACCGGATAACTGATTACATCAAATGTCTCAGATTATAAAATATATAAAAAAATGGAAAATTTTACCAGTCATCTAATATTTCTGTAACAGGCTCCTCATAAGTTGAATGCTAATAAAGGTGAAATGAAAAGAAATATATAAATATATAATGTTAGTTTTATATAAAAGGATTAAAAAGTTATAAGTGGTTTAATAATTCAGCATGTTGGTTATCTATCAGCTGTGTGTGCATAGACAGGGGTAAAAAGGTCATTTGATCATGAAAAGAGAATGGGAATGACTTACATCTTTAGGTCTTGATTTTCTTGAAGGTGGGTTGTGAGTGTGAGGAGCACGTGACACCCTACCTTTGCATTCCTCCTGTCAAAATGATCAAACTCATGTCTTGAAGCATCTAAAGACTCTAACAGCCTTAGGCAACGATGTTTTTATCAGCCTCAAATTTTCATCAGTCTGGAATGGAATAAATTGATATCGGAAGTTAGAAGGAAAGAAAGAAATGTAAAGTCTAATTCAAAGATCAAAGTGACACCCTACCTTTTCCTTCCTCCTGTCAAAATGATCCAAAGCATCATACAATAAATCTGTTGGTTCTGTGCTCCCAATCTTGAAGATAGATTCAGTAGAAGCTAGGACCCGTTGAAGAAACTCCATGTTTAAGTTAAACAATATCCTAGCTCCATCACACTCTGGGATAAGGATAATGGGTTCATCATAAAGATAACGAACCAGATCTCCATAAAGGCCTACCATCAGAAGCATATCATCCTAATATAGCAATACACTGTCCATTCCACACCAAACAAGTTGCTCTGGAGCTAGGGTAGAATGTAGAAGAAACAAAAACAAGAAATCATTATATAAGGAGAAGATAATGAAACCTGATTGAAGCCTTGAAGTTGCAGGGACGTCAAACTGAAGACAAAAAGAAGAAACAATGTTTTGTGAGAGAAGACACATGAAGAATGTACCTTTTGGGAGTGAACCAAGAAGGAGTGGGATCAGATGGGTCTCCTTGACGGGCGGCGCGTAGGTCAGCGACGGTGGTGGAGAGGAGAGATGGGTTGGAGGAGAAGGCGGAAGCGCGTGCTTAGGTTGATGGCGAGCTTCAGCTTTGATTTCGTTCTAGACCCAATCGCATTCGTTTTCTCAGCCATTGATGGCGGTTTGTGGAGACGATGATGAAATCGTGGACTACGACATTGCGTTCTGATCTTTAACTGGTATCTTAAGATGGCGGAAGTGTGTGCTTAGGTTTCTAGATGCACTCCAAAATCTTAAAGCTTATCGGGTTCGATGTTGGTGGTGGCAACTTAGGGCTTGCAGAGAGAGAGAGAGAGAGAGAGAGAGAGATCAAAGAGAGCAAAGGTAAAGGAAGACGAGCTTATTCAAAAGGATGTGCTGATTCAAAAGGATTATTAGGGTTCCATTGTAGGATTCTAGTGTATATTGAGTTTTTAAGGTTCAATGGCGGTGGTAGTGGCGATGGCTTAGGGTTTACAAAGAGAAGGAGGGGTGAATGAAAAGGGAGATACTGAGGAGAGAGGGTAGAAGCGGGGTTCTTCAAAATTTTAGAATTTCAGACGATTTCGTTTTCCCCCTTTAAAAACGCACGTTTAGGCAAATATATATATATATATATATATATATATATATATATATATATATATAATATATATATATATATATATATATATATATATATATATATATATATATATATATATATATAAAGCGACACATTTAGAGGACACACATTTTATGAAAGGCGCCCTCCGCATTTCTTTTTTTTTCTTTTCTGACACTAATTTTAGGGCACGCACAAATGCGTGTCCACTATCCTTCAATTTTTGCAAATTGACATTATTTTTTAGGGCACACACCAATGCGCGTCCTCTATCAACGAGTGTCATTGTTTGCGCTTCATTAAAGGGTTTTTTTCTAGTAGTGTTGTTATGTAGTAATAACAAGAACACCTTTGAAGATCCTTGGCTCTTGAAACCTTAGTTCCCTAAATGTTGCACCTCTAATGGAGTCACAAACACCCAATGCAACAAGATGAGTGGAGAGACAAAGAAAAATCGGCTAGGGTTTATCATCCATAAGCATTGTCCGAAAATCTCATATGGTGGGGTTCTTTATATAGTTGTGGGCTGCTAGGGTTTCTGGAAGAAACCCTAATTCCTGCTTAAGGCTTAAGCACCCCATGGACTCCTCCTTATGAGGACTTGGACAACATCTATAGGGCCTCCCTATATGATTTTGTCCACTCCTAATTAAAGAGTCCAATAGCCCAGTTATGCAGCTATCAATGATTTGCAAAACAACCCCTCCATTATTAATCAGTTCCTTTAATCCTAAAATTAATACCAAATTAATTTTTGATTAAATACTAATTAATAATATGATTTCCAAATAATATATTAATCTTATAATATGTTAATAAAATCATTTTGAGTACCAATTTATTATTTCAAATAATAAATCATACTCTTTCTCTACCAATCATCATGTCAAGTTGAATGAGTGAAGGCAACCCAAAAGGACCATGCTCCAATCAAATCAAGTACATACCAATTATAGTTATGGACTTAGATACCTAGTCTAACAATCTCCCGCTTGGATAAGTCTAATAACTATGATTGGAGGTATGACTTCAAAATTTAACCAGTAATTGTAGCTTTCAAAAGTCGTTGTCGAAATCTGAACTAGTCAATGACGTGTCCTTTAGTTTTGTGATAAAATATTCTACCGTTCTACAAGATATCGTTTGGACATGAGACATGGATTATAATCAATCGCTTTCCAAGATTTGTTTCCCGATTTTTGATTTATGACAACTGACTCAAACTACAATTAAACACATCAACTTAGTCCAGGCTTGGCCAAGCGCTTTAGATGTCATCACTAAATCATCAAGGTGCCCACAAATATCGCTTTTATCCCATTTCGGGTAAAAGGAACGGATAAACTTCGACTCATATTCTTGCACAATTTACTCATAAAATCACACACAACAATACGTTTTATAACATCAAGTTACTAATGCGTTTACGTATTATCAATGCACAACCGACTTGTAAACAACAATTCATATGTCTTCGTTTCAAGAATATAAGATATTATCATCTCAAAATTACTCGTGATAAAATCCATGAAGTAATTCTTGATCATGAGTTTATCCAATACTCAAATTCTTATTTTAGGAGTACTCATGAACACTGCAACAAAAATTTTCCATGTCTAAGCACTTAGACAATCTACAGTCGGATTCATGACGGTCTTAATTCACTACTTACTTCCAAAGTATGATCGACTGTGGATGTTTGAATAACATAGTTATTCGGGAAGTAAAACATGCGAAGTGAAACATAAGAATAACCTAATTAACTATGGTCTCAAAACTTTTGAGTATAAATAAAACACTTATTGTTTTATCACCATATTAATTAGACTTTATTCATTGTATAATGTTTCGAGTAATCAACTTAATACTTGAATTAAAACATTAGTCATGCCATGCTCCAAGCACCCACACTATGTTTATATATGGTCCTTTCTTTGTGAAATAGATCAATTGAACACATTTCCAATGATGCTCATTTCACAATTCCAAATCCTTATCACAGGTATATGAATACCAAATTCTTGTCACTACTAGAATCCGTTAGAGTCTAAACTTACATGAAATGATCCTTTTGTAATATATAGGCACCAAAGTCATAGAGACTTGGCAAATGATATTACAAAACATTCATTGGAGATTTGTTACAAAACAATTCCATGGAAATGAAGTCTCGCATTCAAAGAACATTCCTTGAACATCCTTCTTGCATTAAAGCTTCTAACTTGCACATATATCTCAATATCCAACTCCCATAATGGAAACATTTCCATATGACTATCAATTCTGAACAAAAGTCACCTCTATTCAGAACATGTCACTATGGTCCGTCCAAATTAATATTATACTTCCAACTGTCCACAAGCAACCAATCTTTAGTAAACCTCAGATTGTCCTTGATAGTTGTTTACTACTTTAGTCATATCCGGTTCTAGTCATTTTCCCTCTTAATGCCCTGGGCATTTGGAAAATCAGAATGAGTGAATATTATAGCATATGCAATCGATCCTTACTTGATCAGTCTTTTGCTACAATATTACCATATATATTGAATTTTCTATGTTGAATCATTTCAACATGATATTCATATATATCCATGACTAAGTTTGATTAAAATTTCAATCTAAGCTTTTAGATTCGAAATGAAGTATAAATGCCCTCTCCCTTAAGCCTTACTATAGCTAAACAATTTCCAAATTCTGCAACTATACAAATTTAGAACTTTGTTTCCTATAAATAGCATTGCTAACTTGCAACAATTTACATAATAATCATGCTCCCATTATCATAACAATTATGTTCTCACCAGCATAACAATTATGCTCCCACTAGCTTTGACATGTACTAATCTAAAGGACATGTCATTGAGTAGTTCAGAGTTCGACAATGACTTTTGAAAGCTACGATTACTGGTCAAAATTTTAAGTTATACTTGCAATCATAGTTATTAGACTTATCCAAGTGGGAGACTGTTGGATTAGGTGTCTGAGCCCACAACTATAGTTGGTATGTACTTGACCCGATATTAGCATGGTCCTTTTGGGTTGCCTTTAATCAGAGCAATTTGATAGAATGGACTTTTGAGAAGAGGTTATTTGTGATTTATTATATATTATAGGTATAGTATATTAATTGAGAAATCATATTATGTAATTAGTATTGATCAAAAATTAATTTAATGATCAAAAGAGACTGATTAAATTTACAGGGACTGATTAAGTAAATTGGTAGTACTTATAGTATGGGCCAATGATCCATGGTTGATTAGGGTGGGCTAAACCTATTTGATAGTCTATGAAGGTTTAACCCATGTAACCTAATAAATATTAATGGTCAGGGTGAATTAGGGTTTCCATGGATGAAACCTTAGTCTTTACCACACTATAAAAGCACCCCCTTAACCCTAAAATCGGACTATGCATTCTTGTGAAGAACTATAACTGATTTTGGTGCTATCTAGCCACTTCTCATAAGCCTCCTCTTGCATTTGGTGTTTGTGACACATTAGAGGCATCACATTTGAGGTGCTAAAGCTTTTAAAGGCCAAGAACCACAAGCTACATTAAGAGGTATCCATCTAAATTGGTTTTATGTTGTATATCTCAAATTGTATGCTAGTTAGGGTGTGTGCTTTGGAAAATTGAAATTTCATATATAATTAGAGAAAGCTTAGATCGAAAGCATCTAGTTTGCATGTGCACCATAGGAGTGTTATGGTGCTCAAAACCCAACAATATCATCATCATGTCTATGATCCTCAGCGTGTCATCGCATGGAAGCGGTTGTGGCTTGTGAAGCATATAGTCACTTCAACCTTGAAGTTAAAGGAAAGTAATGCATTCTCTTAAAGGGTACGCGCGACCATGTGGAAAAATTTCTCGACGGTTTGTACCTGTCTGCATTGCAAAATTTGCACTGATAAATCTTGTTGTCTCCCATCCAATATATCATACATCTAGACCTGCAGCAGCCAATCAGCTCCACAGGCAAACCTAGTGACTGTATTAGCTTTTTGCTCTCGTATAAACTACCTGCCATATTATTCTCCTCCGGTAACCCATCCTTCATCAATTAACATATAGCATCATAACATCGTTCAAGTATGCAATACTTCGATTTTATATTCAATAGTCTAACTACAACATATTATTGTGTAGCCTTTTTACATCCAGACCACGACTCTATATATGTTACCTCTAGCATATTAAAAAATAATTTATCTTTTGCAATTGGCTCCTCCTCAGGATTACTAGTCGTAAAATCTGGAGCCATTGCATTTATTACCATTTCTCTGTAACTATATTCATGCTTTTCATTCAACGTTGTGTATGAATCATCTACCCCTAAAGACGTATTTTCATCAATGGATGTTTCACCATGTTTATCCCAAAACCAATAACTTGGTACAAAACCTGACTTGTACAAACGATACTTTGCAGAATCAGGTTCTAGATGTGGTATGTTACGACATTTGATACATGGATATTTGATTCTATCTTCGTCCATATGCATTCATCCATATTTCCGCACTTTTGTGATTTTGGGATTGTATTTTTATAACTATTTTATTTTGAAATACTTTTGGATGATTTGAGATAAATATTTGATGATTTTGGGTTGAATTAAAACTGAAATTTTTACTTGTGGTTTTTGAGATGTTACACCAAGAAACCAGTTAATTTATCAAATTTAGACCTTTTTGACTTGTTTAGCAGGTGATGAGATCAAATCATAAATTTTTGCAAAATAATGAGACTTTTCTGCAGATTTCATCAAAATTTGTACATAATGTATAAACATATTTTTTTTACATATTTATATGTATTTATGTTTTTTTTAATTTTTTATATGTATATGTTTATATATTTTTATGTATTTTAAATGTATAAATGTATTTTTTCCATATTTATATGTATTTTTAGGTATTTTAAGTATTTTTTATGTATTTTGATATGTTATTTTTTATGTATTACATATTTATATGTATTAATACGTATTTATGTATTTTTTAAAAGTTTTTTACATATATGTATATGTATTTTAATGCATTTTAAATATATAAACGTATTTTTTCGATATTTATATGTATTTTACAGTAATTTACATATTTTTATGTGTTTCTTTATGTATTATGCACTTATAAGTATTTTTACATTATTATGTTTTTTTTATATAAATGTTTATGTATTTTGAATGTATAACCGTATTATTTAATGTATTCATATTTTTTTACTTCAAGTCGTCTGCACAATTTCATCTAGTTCCCACAACTTCTTCGAGTATGTCTAGTTTGTTTTCCTACATATCCACAAATTTTCAGCTATTCTCGTTCACTTATTTTGAAATTAAAAAATAAAATAATAATTTATGCACATAGAAAAACTTATAAGTGAAAATATTTTCGATGTTTAATTTGAAAACTTATAAATTACTATTTTTTTAATTCGATTTTTTAATTTCAATATAAACGAATGAGAAAAGCTTAAATTATTTGGGTATACTCGAAAAAACTGTGAGAATTGGATGAAATGGTGAAAACGACTTAAAGTAAAAAAACACATAAAAAAATAATACAGTTATACATTTCAAATACATAAAATTATCTATATAAAAAAACTTTAAAAATAAATAAATATGTTAAAATACCTATAAATACATAATACATAAAATAACACATAAAAATACATAAAAAAATATGTAAAATACTTAAAAGTACATATACATACAAAAAAATACGTTTGTAGATTTAAAACACATTAAAGTATAAAAACATCTATATAGAAAACTTAAAAATAACATAAATAGATAAAAGTACATATAAATAAGTAATACATAAAAATATGTAAAATACTTAAAAATACATATAAATACATAAAAAAAAATATGTTTATACAATTATAATACATAAACATCTATATAAAAAATTTTAAAAATACATATAAATATATAATACATAAAAAATAACACATAAAAAATATTTAAAATACTTAAAAATACATATAAATACATAAAAAATATGTTTATATATTTAAAACACATAAAAATACATAAATATATACATGGAAAAACTTTTAAAAAATTATATATATATATATATATATATATATATATATATATATATATATATATATATATATATATATATATATATATATATATATATATATATATACACACACACACATTATACACAAAGTTTTGACAAAATTAGTAAAAAAAGTCACATTATTTTGTAAAAATTAACAATTTGGTCTCATAACCTACGAAACGGATCAAAATGACTTAAGTGATGACATTCAAACATAAAATATTCGGGCAAAAACATCGTATTTAATCTTATCAAAAACTCAACTTTGATGATAACATTTTTTTCAAGTAAAAGCAATTATATTGATACTTTACTAAAAGTAAAAATATTAAAATCATCAAAACTTTATACAATCAATTTTTAACAATTAAGCTGTTTTTCACTATTTCCAAGAATGTTATCAAAAATAGTAGAAAAATAAGATTGTTATCTAATGTTCTAAAAGTAGGTATGGTACCACTATCCGAGATTGTATGAAGTATAATATGACTCATCTAATGTTCTAAAAGTGGCTTGATACTACTATTTAATTTATTTATGTAGAATTAATAACATTTATACAAAAAGTAAAATTGGGTTGTTTGATAGATTTGTATATATAATGATATTAACCTTTTGTTTTATTACAATGTTACCTATGTTATCATCTTGATTTTTTTTTTTGTCAAAATAGTATCTCTTATAAATAAACCCACTTTGACTTTGCATGTGGAAGGGGCTATCAAACGTAATAGAATATGAAATGTTAAATGATGTTAGGCAGCCTAAAGATTAAAATAAACAAGCTGAACAAACAGCTAACTCGCTAAGGTAGAGGCTTAAACGTGAAAGCCAACATGTAAATAGGCTACCCACTACTTTCAAACTAATTAGTAATTATCCATTAAGCATACTTTTTCATCCATTGGTTGCACCTATCACCCTACTAAACATTACAAAATACAAAGTAAACGGTGATAATGTGGATATTACATGTATCAAAATCGGGCATCGGATTACTTGTTAATCGGTTATAACTCCGATCTAGAATGGAAGTACGGCAACCCAATAAGTACATAACCTGTTTTTTATTTTATTTTTATTTTTTATAAGATTACTAAAAAAATAAAAAAAAATAATTTTTAATAAAAGTTTACTCCAATCCAAGTAGGGGTGATGATGTGTTGGGATAGATCATAAACACGTTGATACGTTTAAATAAACGGATTGAAAATATCTATCCATACCAAAAAAATAAAAAATAAAAATAAAAATAAAAAGAAAAAATTGAGAATTGCAACTCAACTCAACCCAACACTTTTAGTAAAGAGATAGATTGAAATAGATTGACATGTTTATTGTATTTTTCAACCCAACTTATTTAATAAACATGTTGATCATTTAAATTTTCGAAAGAAAATAAAAAAACCTTGAAAATCAAATAATCATCTAAAAAGAAATTACACAAAACTTAAAAAACTTCAATGATTTTTCATGTTTGAAAATAATACAACCATAAAAGTTGATGACACAAACACAAATAAAATGTTTACAACTATAAAAACACTATACATATTTTATTCATAGATGCTACTAAACTCGCTTTCATTTTAATCATCTTGAATTCTAACAATGGTTACTAACCCGTGTTTTATGAGAGTAACGAAAAAAGGAAACTTATTAAGGTAATTAACTTTTCGATATGTTTATATTTTGGTAACTATCTTTTTTTGTACATATCTAAGTAACAAACTTATTGGGAGTGTTCACATATAACCATTATGACCTGCTATAGCAGGTTAAATCCTAGATACGAACGCTTTCAACAAGTTCATTACCTAGATGGAAAACAGTTACCTAAATATGAACAAAACAAACAGTAAAAATTAAATTACACAAATTGTCCCTGTGGTTTGGAAGAATTTATGTTTTTGGTTGCTAACTTATTTTTTTTAACTTAGATGGTCCCTACTGTTTATTTTTATTGTGCGTTTGGTCCCTGTCTTACCTAAAAGACTATTCTGCCCTTATTAATTTATTTTTTAATTAATTTTCTTATTTATGTATTTATTTTTTACATATTTAATATATATATATATATATATATATATATATATATATATATATATATATATATATATATTACACATATTTGTATCTTCTCGGATGAACCCTACTGTTTATTTTGAATTAATTTTTTTTTTAACTCGGATGATCCCTACAGTTTATTTTTGTTACGCGTTTGGTCTCTGACTTACCTAAAAATACTATTTTTCCCTTATTAATTTTTTTAATTAGTTTTATTATTTATGTATTTATTTTTTTATAAAAAAAATTAATATACCCCACATATATGTATCTCCTCACCGTAAACCTGAAACCACATTTGAGAAATTTAATTTAGGTTTTATTGGTTACCATCTCATCTCTAATCCTCCTCATCTTCTATTTCTTTTCCATCTTTAGTAACATCGACGTCTTCATTATCCTTCTTTTTTTTGGTACATCAACTCTGACGAACCAACACCATAACCTATGTCTCTTCATCTTTAGTGAGTTGTGGTGTTGATTCGACGGATTTGAAGAACCGAAAAAAGAAGTGATGACGAAGACGTCGATATCACTAAAGATGGAAAATAAATAGAAGTTGAGAAGGATGAATGATGGGATGGTGAGGAAATACAAATATGTGGGGTCTACTAATTTTTCTTAAATATATAAAGCATAAGTACATAAACAAGAAAATTAATTTAAAAAAATTAATAAGGGCATAATAGTCTTTTTAGGTAAGACTGAGAGTAAGTTTGTAACAAAATTAAACAGTAGGGACCATCCGAGTTAAAAAATTAAATTAATTAAAAAATAAACAGTATGGATCTTCCGAGGAGATACAAATATGTGTGGTCTATTAATTTTTTAAAATATGTAAAAAATAAATAAATACATAAATAAGAAAATTAATTAAAAAGTAAATTAATAAATGCACAATAGTATTTTTAGATAAAACAGAGACCAAACACGCAAAAAAATAAAACAGTAATGACCATCCAAGTTAAAAAAAATAAATTAGGAACCAAAAACAAAAATTTCTCCAAACCACAGGGAACATTTGTGTAATTTAATTTTTACTTTTCATTTTGTTCATATTTGGGTAATTATTTTTCTTTTACACATCTAGGTAACGAACTTGTTGAAAACGTTCACATCTAAGATTTAACATGTTATAACAAGTCATAATGGTCATATTTGAACACTTCCGACAAGTTTGTTACCTACATGTGTACAAAAAAAAGATAGTTACCCAGATGTAAACATACCGAAAAGTTAATTACCTTACTAAGTCATATTCCCACAAAAAAAATCAATAATATAATAATACTAAAAAGCATAAATAAATTTAAAAAAAAAAAAAAAAAAGGTATTAATTAGTTGGTTGAGTTGGAAAGTTCGAGTTGGGATTGCCAATTATAAATCAACGAGATATTTATTTTGTTTAATTATTTAATAAATGAAGATTAAAATTATAAAACATAATCTTTTCTCTAAAGGTACAATTGTAAACATCTTTGTTATTTCAATTGTCTAGTCTTGGATGTTGAATTCATCATGGATATCAACTTTTTGCTCTTGGATATTTTTATAGTGTCTTCCTCGTTGATGTTTTTAATAATCTTCTTCGTTGACCTAAATGGCTAAATTAGTAGATGTTCATGATAAATCTTTTGTTAATTATTTTTCAATCTTATTTTTCGTCGTGCTTCATCTCACATTCAAGTGAAACAATGTGTTATATGTGTTTCGCTCCATACAAATAATATTTTAAACTAACTCAAACCTTCAACTATTGTGTTGTGTTACATATATCTATGGAAGAGGGTTTAATTGCTTTTAGTCTGCTTTATTTCTATTTCCTATTTTACTTAGTAGTTTGAATTTAAATAGAGGCTTTTACTAGTAATCCATCATATTTCTTCTAATTGAATCAAAGAGACCATAGATGTTAGGAACGCTACTAGCCTAACCATGACAACATAGAAGAACAATAAGGTTTCATTTTCTAAAACCAATTGGTAATGAAAAGTATTACACATTGCCTTATATGTTAGCATCTAGTTTCTCTTTTTACCGGTATAGGATTGGGTTTGCACCCCAACGTTCTTCCCCTCAAACCCAAGTTCTACTCTTGTCCTCCCCTTCAACAATTGTTCATCTATTCAAATCCTTTTTAATAACGCTGATACTCTCGAGACATACTCACCTAAAATGGGCCATTAGGAAGACTTTTGATACAAAGCTTCACGATCAACTTCGTTGGCCCAGGAAAATTCATACGACTATAGCTCTGATATCATATGTTAGGAATGCTATTAACCCATCCATGACAACATAAAAGAATAATAAGGTTTTATTTTCAACATAAAAGAATAATAAAAGAATAATAAGGTTTTATTTTCAACATAAAAGAATAATAAGGTTTTATTTTCTAAAACTAATTGATGATATATGCTAGCAACTATATGGGATTGTGTTTGCACCCAAACAATAGACTCCTCTCAAAGATTCATGAAGCACTCAAACTCTTCTTGCATGATAGTAGGTTCCCCGAGCCGACTTGTCAAATTGTGGAAAATACGAAGATAGATCCTGCACAAAAATTAATTGAGATAAAAATGTTCGAAATTGTTTATTAAGTTATGTTTTAAGTTTAGGTTTAAATCATTCATGTTTTTAGTCGTTTTCATGTTGTAAGTCAAGTATTTTAATATTATTATGCTTGTGTTTTTAAAAATTAATATTTGTTTAACAAATTAAAATTTGCTTACCAAATTAAATATTTGTTAAAAAAAAATAAACAAAATTAAAAAGAAAATTATTTGACATACACTCCCCCTTGTTAACATGATTATATATGTCTAGTTGGAAGGCAAACAGAAAAGATACCAGCATGCAAGCACACAACCACTCATTCTAACCTTAATATCGACCTTCTGAGTGATTGATGTCTTTAAATCATTCAGTGATCATATTAAACTATTAATCAAGAAACTAAATCCTTAGAGTCACTGGGTGCTAAATTATGGGACATAAATGTTATACATAAAACGCTTACAAAATCAGCAGATGATCTGGCAAGGTCTTTTTAACAGAAAATCGTTCCAACTTTAATGGTCATTTTAGCAAAAATAGTCATAAAAATCCAAAAGACAAAATCAAGATAACTTCTAGAAGCAATTGCTTTAATACCCATATTCCTAATCCAACTACAATCATGCCCCAATAAAAGAAGCAAACGTCAATTTAACTAACACCAAAGAACAACTGATGATATACTTTTCAAGTCAAAATTTTCAACATAAAATATAATTCAACCAACTCAAAACCCTCCAAACACATTTCAAGCTTCTGTAATTGGGTACTCAAACACAACATCTTTCCCAGAAAGCTTCCTGTAAACTCCACTGAATGTCTCCAACTTGTACTCAGTGTCATTACGAGCTTTTGGATCCAAATAAATCTAAAACAAACACACAACAAAAACCATTAACACAAATCCAAATTCCAAAAAACTTTATACAAATAACTACATTTACCTTGATGATTTTGGATCCATCGAGCCTATATCTAACACGTTTCCCAACTATCTCAGCAGGGTGCACCACATCTTCCAGCATGGCATCATGGACAGCTGTCAGGGTGCGTGAACGAGGTCTGGTGGCTGCTGAGCCTTTCTTTGGTGGCCTAACAATCCTTCTGGTTGCAATCACAACAACATCCTGTAACAAAATTTATAACTTTTAAATGATTGAGTTTTGTTATAAAGAAATACAAATGGGGTGTTGTGTAAATATTAAGTACCTTTCCACTGAACTTCTTTTCGAGTTCTCTAACAAGCTTAGTGTGGATCTTGCGGAATGGTTTTCTTAATCTGTAGGGGACATGGATCACAACAGCCTTTTTGTTTCCAACATCAATTTGACTGGAAAAGAAGCATCAAATTGAGATTAATATGTGATATGATGGAGGAAAGGGAGAGAATTTATATGGGAATAATGGGTTTGATTCATACTTTGCAGAGTTGATGTACAAGTCCTTCAAGTCACTCTTGAGCTCTTGGTGGGTGTTTTCCAAGTCAAACAATGCCTGGGTGGAGATGAAAGATTGAAATTAATGAAGAGATTGTTAATAAAAGAAAGAAAGTTTGTGGAAGAATGACATTAATGGGGAATTACCTGAGCAACACTCTGCTCGAACTCAGTGGGTTCTGCATCCTTGTTGTCCTTTTGGATCTTCTTCATTGAGGTATACATCTTGAAGATCTGGATTAACAGCTATGATGGATTAGTAATGTTATATGTATATAGGTACAGATCAATCAATTGGAAAATTAGGTTACAATAGCTCATACAGCTTAGACAATTTAATGATCATTGTAAACTGAATATAAGATATACGCCAAAAAACAGTTCAATGAAAACAGAATTAAAGACTCCATTTTCATAACACCAAGGCAATGCATGTCCGGAGCGCTATGAGAAGAACAAAGCTTCGGGCTCACCCGTTCTTCACTCGAGGCTCCATAACTCTACTGCTACTATTACTAAGTAAACGAAAGCTACACTCTGAATCCATAACAATCTCCTTACAATACTCGATCACAAGCACATGTACAACGATACAAACATCGAACAACTCAAAAACACTCGATTGAAAAGTAATTACCTAATGTTGTATCGTGTAAGCATACAAGAAGACTAAAACCAAAGTGCATTCACAGAAACTATTTCTACACATCGGATATTAATAACGAGGATGGTACAAGAAAGTAATGCGACTATGAAACGATTTGTTAAAAGGTTTGAAATCAAATGGATATTCATTGAGATGAAGATGAAGAATGAATACTTACGTTGAATCGAAGGGTGGATCCTCTTGGAGGAAAACCCTAACCTGCTTGGAGTTTCAGCTCGGGAGGAGAAGGCTGCTGCTATGGATGTTGGGGACTCAAAACGTATTAATCAGAAGGGTTTTGTAATGCCCTACTTACTTTCTGGTTTCTAGGGTTATACTTGGGCTGAATCTACGGCCCAGTTTTATATCGGGCTGAAGGTTATAATTCTCTAAAAAGATCAAATTAATTATTTTTCAAAGATATGGTATTATCGTAAAGATTAGATCATTGGATCAAAGAATTTTTTTTTTAGGTCTAAAATCTAGATCTTTTTTATTTTAAAAAAAAACATTATTTCAGTATTTTATAACGCTTGAGTTTCATTCTGTTAAATCTTTTACTAATGATTGTTTTTCTTATATGTTTATTTTTCTGTTTCACTCTGTAAAACCTTTTACTAACGCTTGAGTTTTATTTTTCTCCAATTAAGTTCTTAAACCCAATTAATTTTTATGGGAGCCAAACTACTTCAAACAAGAATATTAACTTTTATCAAGGCACTTAACCGTAGGTTTAAAAAGATCTCACAATTAGTGTTTAAAGTATGAATAAAAAGAATCTATCAAACTAACGAATCTCAAACACCCACTCTAAAAACCTATATCATACACTCCACAACTGTATAATATAAACAATATTTTTTTTTTTTCATAAATAACAATTTATGTTTTACTAAGTTATACAATACAACAATTTATATTTTATAGATTTATATATTTTATAATCGGTTGTGTGTGGAAGAAATATGTTTGTGTATTTGGCAAAAATAAAAATAGTTGCCTCCCTATCCATAATCTTTCATATTTAGGAAAAAAAAAAAAAAAAAAAAAAAAAAAAAAAAAAAAAAAAAAAAAACAAGATTTTGCAAAATGAGTTACAAAACCTAGATTCGCTAAAACTATTTAGCAAAATTAAACGTACTTTGCAAACTCCTTAGTCCTTATCAACCCAAATTTGTCAACAAAATAGTTTTGTGAATTAATCTACTCTTGCAGACATTTTTGCAAATAGAAAGTTAATTTTTATACTAATGAAAAAAAAACAGCTCCAATATTAAAAAAACTAAATCCAAAAGTTGATTAAAAATCCTTTTACAGAAATAACATTTCCCTACCTTAGTGTTAAAGTCTTAACCCATGGCATCTAACAGCTGACATGATCCAACACAATTTAAAATCAAAGGACCACTTAAAACTAAAAGCCATAGATTTTTTTTTTTTTTTTTTTTTTTTTGAAGTTCCATTACATCAAAATAAAGAGAAAATTAAAATGGATGACAACAAATATATATCCAATGCTCTCATTCTCAGTTGTCAAGAGCACCAAGAGCTTTCATATCCTCCAAGAACGCCATGTAAGAATCATCCACACTTGCAGGTTTCACTGATGAAGAAGAAGATGATGACAACACTTTCACTGTTGACTGTTTCATGACAGCTGGCGTTACTACGCCAGGCTGGACAGAACCAACTGACACTGATGAAACGGATGGCTTCGGTTTCACCTTCGGTCCAGCTGTCTCTCTCCTCACACGTACTGATGCTGGCACCTATTAAAATATATTCAAAACTAATTAAATACTAAAAAAATTATAAACAATCTTTTTTTTTAATTCTTCCAAATATACCCTTTATTAGTTATAACATACTCAATATTCTACATGCCCTTTTATGTCATTTTACATATTTCAGCTAGTTTTACCAAACGTCATTTTTTATCTGCCAGATAGATTATCAGTTATCAGTTTTGCAGCCAGCAGTTAGCTTTTCAGCTATCAGTTAGATTTTCAGGTAGTGACTTACCATGGCGGTTAGTTGTGGGGTATGTTGAGCTAAAGGCCTTTTAACAACAGTGGAAGCGGCTGATTTCACATATGATGGTTTTTGAGGTACAGTTGGTGGTCTTGAAAACTGATCGTCCATTGGAATTGGTGGTGGTCCGGGAGGAAGTGGCGGTCTCATCATTGGTGGCGGCCCGAATGGCGGCCTTGGCATCATCATTCCCGGATGAGGTGGTGGTGGGCCGGGAATTCCTAGGGGGGGTAATGGTGGTGGTCGCATGTCTGGAGGTGGTGGTGGTGGTGGTAGTGGAAAGCGAGACATCCCTGGCGGTAGCATGTCTGTTGGTAAAACCGGGATCATCCCGGGTGGTGGTTGACGTGGAGGAGGTGGTGGTGGTGGAACCATTTTTGAGAAGTCCTTGGCTTCTAAACCACCTTCAGATTGGTTTCCGGTGGGCTTTGGTGGTGGTGGAGGTGGTGGAGGAAGCTGAGAAATGTTGGAATCTGATTTTAAAGACTGAGATTTCTCCCCAGTTCCGGCAGTCCCCGGAGGCGGTGGTGCTAGGGTGGATATGGATTGTGGCAGTGGAGGAGGGGGTGGAAGAGGGCCAGGCGGTGGCGGCAAGATAGTGCCGCCTACCTCTGTTGTGGCGGGCTTTGGCGGCATTGGTGGTGGAGGTGGTAAAGGTAAAGACGGAGGTGGAGCGTCATCTCCGGCCTCTGTATCGCCGCCACTTTGTGGCAGAGGAGGTGGCGGTGGTGGTGGAGGAATCGACGAGTCAACATCATCTGACTCTAATCCTGCAGCATCACTTGTTGAACCTTCCACTAAGGGTATAATTGGTCCTGAAATCAAAGCAAAATAACTGTTTCAGATCAGTAGAGTGGAGGGGTAAAATGGTCAAAAGTTAAATGAAACCTAACCTATCGATGACTTGTACATTGGAGGCTTTCCAGGTGGAGGTGCACCAGTTGGATTCCATTGAGGATGATAATAAATAGAATCCTGCAATTACAAGTTTACAACTCTTTGAGTAAATGACCATTTTGCCCTTGTGTATGCATGAATTATGAAGTCAAAAATTTACCTCAGGTTTTAGGTTCTTAGCTCTTTCTTCTTCCTCAGCAGTCCGTCTTCTTGGTAGTCCCAGATGACTGGAGGAGATAATAGAAAATTTATACGATTAAACTTTATAAAAATGAGGTCTTGCTTTTTTAAGTAAATTTTATATTTCACTTGCAAATTTGTATAAACTTAACCTGAACATAACTGGAGCTTCACCCTTTTCCTTCATTTTTTCTTCATATTCCTGTCAAAAAAAAAAATGTGAAGTAGGCTATAAATTAAATATACACATTTGTTGATATATAATTAGATTTTCATATGATGATCACCTAAAATATATATGTTACCTTTCTTTTCTTCATAACAAGATTCAATGTGTCCTCAAGTTGTCTTTTTTTGTGTTTTCTGGCTTTATCCAAAGCACCATCCGCCTCTGTAACAATTATAAGCAAGAAAATAAGAATCTTGAAATAGTCATCAAACAAATATGCTTAAAATTCAAAAATGATAACAAGTTTGATCATCAAAGAATTTTGGCACTTAAAACACTAAGCCACCAACAATTACAAGAAAAAATTCAAATACATAGACTTCATGGCTAAAAGATTCATTTAAGAGAATAGAACTTTATTGTTGAAGGAAGGAGGAGGTTCAGATCAGTTTCTTACATTTTGTTAAGAAGAATCAACTCATCAATTGATACACACACATGACACATTCATACATAAATACTACAAAACTTGGATCATTTAGAACTTACTCATTGCTTCCAACTTGTCGATTTGCTCCTTGAGGGTTTCAGGATCCTTCTTCAGTATCCCTACTTCTCTTACTTTCTTTCTTTCTTTCTTGTTCTGTCATAGATAAGCATACACATAACAAAAGAAACAATATTAGAAAGTTCCATCTATAACACGGATATTAAATGTTGATAAATAGTGTCATAATAATGCCAACTCATCACATCATTATAAGCTCATCTGGTATTGTAAATAAAACAAAACTAGGGAAATTTGATTCAAGATAGCTTGGAAATTGGCATACAAGGGATTTGCAAAGATAAATGATCTGTGTGCATCAACATGACATCAAAAGAGATAAAAGCATCAGATTTATGTCTAGCATTTGTATGCTTGAAATTCAAACCTATTTGATTCGGAAACCCTAAACATCTCAATCACTTATATAGCTGAAGCAACGAATAAGCATGCATATTGTCAATGAATGTAAAAGTGGTTGCTCTTTGCCCAATGGATATCAGTAACGATGTATTTATCAGTAATGTTATTCAATCGGCCATTTTTACTGCACCTGAGTATATATTACCTACATTTCAAGAAGTTCAAATAGTGTAGGCATATGAAACTCAGTAATTTCTAAAGTCAAAACGTGGATGATTCCTCCGAAGGATTATTAAATCAAAATTTACAATTTCCATTCATTAACATAAAGCCGAAACTTTCAAGAGCAGGAACTGAAATTAGAGAAATGACAGAGCAGCACGGTTCGATTAAAATTAACATGATCATAACAATAACAAACAACAACGACTTTAAGAAATTGTTGAAGAATAACATAATCAATTCAAAAGGGAAAACTTACCCTCTTCAATTCTTTCTTGCGAAGCTCCTTCCTATAAGCGTCGGTAGGGTTCATGACTTTGCCCCCCTTTGTCGTCTTCATCTTGATAATCTCTGTATACTTTATGTATCGAATTATATCTTGGATCGAATTGCAATCAAAGAGGAGGTATGATAAGAAGAAGAAGTTGGTGTGGTGAGCTACGATTGTTCGTTGCGTCTTCTACCTCAAAACCTCAATGGGGAACTGAACCTGTGAACCTCTCTTTCGATTTTCACCTCCGTTTTTTCTTTTAAAACCCCCCTTTGTCTTGATTTACATTATTACATCCGTACGATCATCGGATCAAGTTGGAGTCCAAGATCCGGGTTCTGGGCCTATGTTTTGGGCCGGGTAATTTAGACCACATGGTATGGAAACCGTAGGTTTTAATCTTGACATATGTTTTTAGTTTATTTTAGTATTTGTTTTTATTTTGTGAGTCAAATAACTAGGTAGAATAGGTCATGTTAGGAACTGAGTATTTGGGGGTAGGTTATGTAGGCTATAAAAGCCTCTTATTTTCATACGTAATTAAACAATACAATGTGCATTGTTTGAGAGGGAGTTGAGGGCCTGATTTCCAACATTTGGTATCAGAGCCTAGGCTCGATTAGAAGAAGGAGGTGGGCAATTACATGTAAATCGCATGAAGGTTTGAGGATCGGCTGCACAGCAACAAAACTAGTGTGAAGAAAGAAGAAAGAAAGAAGAAAGAAGAAAGAAGAAAGAAGAAAGAAAGAAGAAAGAAGATAGAAATAAAGAAGGAAAGAAAGAAAGAAAGAAGAAAGAAGATTGTGACAACCCGTTGTTGTCTACCTGAGAAAGAAAGAAACAGAAAGGTACAACTCTTTTTACCAAATTACTTGCAAAAGAAAGAAGAATGGCAGGAGGATTAAACCAAGGAGGATCAAACCAATGGGGTTCAAAAGAGATTGTAGTTCAAGGTACTGTTGTACCATTTTAATGCCCAAAATTAACAGAAACTAACTACACCACTTGGTCTATTATGATTGAAACTGTGTTAAGGGCATATGGACATTGGGATGCTATAACCAAAGATGTGGTTGAAGAGAAGAAAAAATATACCACTAAAGGTATAATTTTTCAAACTCTACCGGAAAATGTTCTCTTGCAGGTTGCTAAACACCAAAGTGCCAAAGAAGTGTAGGAATCAATCAAGGTCTGTTATATAGGAGCTGAACGGGTGCAAAAAGCAAGGTTGCAAACTTTGAGAAATGAATTGGAGACGCTGAAGATGAAGGACAATGAGTCAATCAATGATTTTTCGGGCAAAATAAGTGGTATTGCTGCCAAATTCAAAAGTCTTGGTTCAACTCTTGAGGAGGAGGTGATTGTAAGAAAAATTTTCAATTCGGTTCCAAAGAAGTATTTGCCCATTGTAGCTCCCATTGAACAATATTCCGATCTAGAAACTATGACATTTGAAGAAGCGGTTGGAAGGGTTAAAGCCTATGAAGAAAGGTTTCAAAGCCTTGAAGAAAAGGAAGGAGATCATGATCAACTGATGATGGCGAGTGAACAAAAACATGGTGAAAGTAATGGACACGGAAGAGGACGTGGAAGAAACTTTGAAAGCGATGGAAGAGGCAGAGGAAGAGGAAGAGATCAAGGTGATAAAAGTGGATTTCGGTGCTTTAATTGTGGAGACTTTGGGCACTTTAGTTATGAGTGCACAAAGCGGGATGACAAAGACAACAACAGAGAAGCAAACTTGCTCAAAGAGGAAGAACCGACACTGCTTTGATGAAGAAACGAGTCAAGATTAAGGGGGTGAATGTAGGTTTTAATCTTGACATATGTTTTTAGTTTATTTTAGTATTTGTTTTTATTTTGTGAGTCAAATAACTAAGTAGAATAGGTCATGTTAGGAACGAGTATTTGGGGCCCTGTTAATGGATGATTAAAATTAGGGAACGTGGGCTTAGTTGAGTTTAGTTTGTTTAGCTCCATTAGGTTATGTAGGCTATAAAAGCCTTTTATTTTTCTGGAAATATATGCAGCCGTATGAGTTACAACTACTCTTTCTCTTCATCTTATTTTCATACGTAATTAAACAATACAGTGTGCATTGTTTGAGAGGGAGTTGAGGGCCTGATTTCCAACAGAAACTTCTTCAGCGCGGGACTTCAACCCTCCAACTCAATAAGGGAGCGCAACAAAATTTTCCTCGTTCTTTTCTTCTCACCAAAGTATAAGAAATTATCATTTTTCACTGTATTTCATTTTTATTTTATTTTAAATAAAAATAATTGATTTTTAAGATTTATAATTTAAAAAATAAATATAGTTTTTTTAAAATGATTAATAAACACAAAAAACAATAAAAATTAAAATTCTTCATTACATAAAATAAAATTTACATTCAATATAAAAAAAAACTTACAAAATAAACAATATTAAAAAAACACAACCTAGAAAGCATAATTAAGCATTACATAATATTCAAATTTGAAAAAAAAAAACAAAAACAAAACAAACTACGCCACTCAGAATCATCGTGATCCTTGTCATCGTCATCATCGGCATCGTCACCCTCGACGAACATATCTGAATCTTCATCTAATTCGTCAAACAAATCATCGTGTCAATACTTTTATGTCCGACTGTATTAGAGTCCTATAAACATGTTCCACTAAATCCGCACAAAAGACGTGATGAATGCCGCGATCATGTATGTCTTTTCTATTTGCTCTATACTTTTGCGTACCGACGGCTAATTCTTCAACATTTGGCAAAACTTCGTTTTCATTATATCAGCATATCGCTCTTCCTTTGTCTTCAAGAATCATACTATGTAATATGATGCACGCATACATTATGTGTTGCAACCTTCTCACTTCAAAAGCATGCCCCTGCTGCTAGTACTTGTCAACGCCTCTTGAATACACCAAATGCTCGCTCCGCGTCCTTCCTAGCTGACTCTTGTGCCTACTTAAACTTTACTATTTTTTGTTGTTTGAACATGCGAACGATTTCACACAAACAAATAAGGTAGAATATATCTCGTCAGTAAGATAATATATGCGGTTATATGCTACCCTATTTGCATGAAAAAGTACATCGTGCGACTTTCCAAGGCAAATGTCATTGAGTATCGACGACTGTTATAGAACATTGATGTCGTTGAATACCAGTGTTTTAGTGGTTTCTTTTGGAGAGAATATGTATAAATTCTATAAAAATAAAGTTGAGTTGGTTTGGTATTAATAAAGTGATAAAAATATTATATATATATATATATATATATATATATATATATGTATGTATGTATCTATGTATGTATGTATGTATGTATGTATGTATGTTTGTATGTATGCATATCAATGTTGTGAAAATCGTTTGGTGGTCGACTGGCATTAAGCAATTAATCGGACTAGGCGACGATTAATCGGGGACCCTAAATTATTAATACAATTATTTAAAAAATGAATATATCCTACAAAAATAAGTATTTGAAAATTTATATATAATGACCCAAATTTTCAAATAAAATTTCATTTTTAATTAACCAAAACATCTCATAAAATAAGAAATAACAAGGACAATTGTTCTCAAAATCCATAACATCAACATTTATTTCAAATATCAGATTGTCCCATCAAATCAAATGTTGAATAGTGCATGTCGCGCCATCAAGCCTTGCCCTTGCCCTTAGGCTCAGATGTACCTGAAACAAATCAACAAACTGTAAGCTAATGCTTAGTGAGTTCCCCAAAGCATACCCCACATAATCCATATTAGCTATAAAAGCTACATAAACCACATAAACCATGCATACAAACATATATGGATGACGTGCGCTCCTCCCAGGGTCTTACTTCAGGATGTTATGGGCTCCCCTACATGGTCTTACACCTAAGTTTCATGGGCTCCCCATGATCTTTAGCTGCAAAGTCATGGGCTCCCCTACAAGGTCTAACATCCAAGTGCTATGGGCTACCCCATGGTCTTTACCTGAAAATCCATGGGTTCCCCTACATGGTCTTACATCCAAGTGTGGCTCCCCCATGGTCCTTGCTTGAAAAGCCATGGGCTCCCCCACATGGTCTTACATCCAAGTGTTGGATTAGGTATTTATGCACATAACTATAATTGGTATGTACTTGACCCGATAGTAGCATGGTCCATTTTGGGTTGCCTTCACTATAACAATTTGATAGGATGGATATTTGAGAAAGATGTTATTTGTGATTTATTAATAGATTATAGGTATAATATATTAATTAAGGAATCATATTATTTAATTGGTATTGATCAAAAATTAATTTGGAATTAATTTAGTGATCAAAAGAGACTAGTTAAATTAATGGGGAATGATTAAGTAAATCAATGATACTTATAGTTTGGGTTAATGATCCATGTTAATTATGGTGGACTAAATATTTGTGGAGTCCATGAAGATTTAGTCCAAAGGGTTTATCATATGGATTATTGGAGTAAGGCCCAATGAAGTTGATTAGGGTTTACAAGTTGAAACTTTAGGAATTTCACACTATAAATGTAACCCATAATGCACCTAAAGTTGACCACACTTGCATGTTTTTTCCATTAGGGTCAATCGACACTTTAGAGAAGAGGAAATGAAAGAGACGAAGAAAGGGCGTATAATAAAATAGAGAGAATCATGGTTTAGGGGCATTCTAATAGGTTTTTTTATATAAAATGACGAAAGTATCCCTCATGTGCGAAACACGTGGGGGGGGGGGGACTTAACGTTTGGAATTGATGACTAACGGACACATAGAACAGGCGGGTAATAAAAAAGAAAAGGTGAGGATGGTTCGAGTGCAAAACAAAAGATAGGGACCAAACGCGCAACTTTAGCCAAACCATAGGGACTATTTTAGTAATTTGTTCTAACTTTTTTTTTTTTTTACCGTTGAGGGCATCTCCCTCTAGTATCCTCTTCGGTCAGCTTCCGTGTAGAAGATGTGTACCTCGAAATATACTCTTAAACACCAACGATTACTGATTTGGGGGCAATAGAAGAGGGATGAAAGTTGGAGTCTTCGAGAGAGTACTGAAGATCATGTCCACTTTATAAAACTTTCACATTTTATGGGTTTTAGAAAGGATAATACCATCTTATGTAAAATGAGAGGAGGAATCAATTGCATCTATTGGGGCGCTTTGATAATCATGTATGGTTTATTAGTGATAAAAGTCAAAATTAGATTTAAATCAAAAACCCGATTACCAAAAATACAGGAATGTAAATTTGTGTTATTAAATATCTTCCTAATTTACTCTTAGATATTAATTAGGTTATACATTCATACAATAGTTAATGGTTATATATGATACTCTCTCTCTCTCTCTCTCTATATATATATATATATATATATATATATATATATATATGATACTCTCTCTCTCTCTCTCTCTCTCTCTCTATATATATATATATATATATATATATATATATATATATAGGGTTAAGTTCAAATGAGAACACTATTTAATGTGAGAACGTGAGAACAATACTTTATGTTACTATTCTACTATGAATTTTATATATACAACGATATGACATTATTCATCAACAAATATACGAACAATCACACATTAATATTCACATTAAAATTTTGTATGTATAGCTTTATGATATTATTCATCACCGAATATATGAACAATCACATATTTAACATTCACATTATAATTTACTAAATTACTACACATATATATATAAATTTTATAGTAGAATAGCTATATAAAATTGAATATTCATATTATAATTACTACAATACTATACATATTAAATTCATAATAGAATAGTAACATAAAGTAGTGTTCTCACGTTCTCACATTAAATAGTGTTCTCATTTGAACTTAACCTATATATATATATATATATATATATATATATATATATATATATATATATATATATATATATATATATATATTAAACATTCCAAAAGCTTATTGTTTGAAAATAGGCTCACTAACAAACAAAAGTTTTCATAGTTTTTGATAGTAGTATTTGATAACACGATTATCTATATTCATATTATTTATTTGAAAATATGCTTGAAAATTATCTAAATATTTGAATAATATTTACACACGAGAAATTAAATTCTTATATCTTTCTTTCTATTTATTTTTCTATCCATTTGAAATGACGACAAATATATTAAAATATAATTAATATTATCTGAATATAACACTACTCACATTTTCATATACATAGGAATATAATAAGAGTATAAGTAGAAAGAAAATAGAGAATGATATTTAATTTCTCTATTCATATAGAACTGAAATTTCCGGGTTGCATCTGTACGAATATAATAGAAGTATATATAGAAAAAAAAATGAAAAATGATATTTAATTTCTCTATTCACATAGAACTCGGTTGCTTCATTCCCACATCGCCTTGTAGAAAGAGAAGAGATAAGTATCTCACCTATAAAAAAAAAGGTTTGACAACCAACATGGAATCTTACATTTGCTTGGTGGCTTATCTTCTGTGCTCAGTTTTTGTTTTAGGCTTGAACCTTTTGGTGTTAAAGGTTTTTTTAAAGCTCATTTGTTTCATTTGGCCAATTTTAAAAGTTTTTGGGTTTAGATTGTATAATAAATTGAATCATATGCATGCAGTTAAAAACCAAACATAACTAATAAAAAATGAACAGTATAAAATAACCGAATAATCGAACTACAAAATAACTGCACCATTTGGTTTAGTAAATGGAATAACCGTATATGTGGTTAACAGTTCGGTTTTAGCCAATAACCACACCAGACTGTACCATATGCTCACCCCTATTTCCAAGAGTATGACCACACGGCATGTTCTACATCCCTATCTGCCACGTCCGCTAGGTTGGATTCTCTATAAATAGGACTTATTCTTTTGACATAGAGAGATATACACACCACCTCATAATTTCAGTTTGGAAATGCAGTAGGGATGTTTGCACTTCCACTTGCGGATGGGTTTTTTTTTTGGAAACATGAATGCACTTTAGTTTATAAGCCAAGGTGAAGAATGTAAGGTAAATGACATAAGTAACTATGTAGGGGTGTTGTGTAAATAAGAGAGAGTCATTGACTATATCACATTTAGATGGTAACTTGTTAGTGATTGTCGCTATAGTAGCCCTATAGGAACAACATGTCGTTGCCATAAAGTTGACTAATTATTTTTGACTTTTGAAGCTACAATGACCTCTCGTCTCAACATGTTTAGGTGGGAACAAAAGTGAATTTGACACGTTCTTGAAACATCCGTGGGGACAACTTATCGCTCTAATAAATAACAAAAATTAAAAGTAACATATTTTTTAAATTGTTTGACAGAACTAAGACGATGTAGTATGGGACATGTTTGCTTGTTATGGGCTGAGATGGATAGCCTAATGCCATTGTAACGGGGGAACACCTCCCCCTACTCGTTGCTTCTCGTCGTGTTACAATTCGTGCTCGTTACCACCGGGGCGTTTCTTCTCCAATTTCTTCTATTTTTCTTCTTTAATTTTGCCTCACGACGGTGTTGTGAGTTGGAACACCACCCCTGAAATCTACGTAACAATTCAGTGACGTTTTTTTTGGTTGCCCGTACCATACAGCCTAAAGGTTTGACATCGTTTTGGGATAGCTATAGGGACGACTTGTCGTCCTCATAGCTCTCTATGCCCAAAATTAGAATAGCCCTCTCGTTTCATTCACGCACGCTCAGTCATCAATCATCGGTCTCTCTCTATCGATCTATCAAAGATTCTCCCCTGGTGACTTCCACACCTCCCACTCTTGGCAAATCTTCTTCCTCTCTCTACAGATCCTCATGTTAGTTGTCGAAGACCACCGATGATTCTTACTACCAGCTTCCTTTTCACCTCCGGTTAAGAATTCTAACGATTGCAAGCCCCACTCCGGCGACATAGGTTACTAATTCTCGGTTAGAAACTGGAATTGGTGTTTATGTTAGTAATTATGTGTTTGAAACTGGAATTGGTGTTTATGTTAGTAATTATGTCGTCTGGATAGCTTCACCAAAACGACATCGTACTCCATTTCTGCAAGATGGATAAAAAATAAATCAAAATTAATTTTTAAGCACCCTATAGAGACGACATGTCGTCTGCATAGGGTGACCAAAACGGCATCATCTTGCTTTTCTGCGGCAAAGAATTAAAATAAATCGAATATATGTTTTTAATTCCTCTTCCCGACGACATGTCGTCGGTATAAAAATTCGAAATACCACCAATATTTTGCCGCTTCCCGCCAAGCCTATGCAGACGACATGTTGTCTATATAGCTTTTCTGGTCAACAACATATGGTCAATGTTTGAAAACTCTATCGAGACGACATGTCGTCTCTATAGATCGACTTTTGCCAACGACATATGTCGTCTGGATAGGTGTCGTCTGCAAGGGTTATATCCTTGTATGTTTGGCTAGTGTAATTTTAAACATTTTCAAACAGCTAGAATGTTTTTGTAAACTTGTATAACACTTTAAATGTTATGTGAAATTATCGTATTTTAATGTTTCGCAATTAAATTCACTGTTTTTTTTTTTTTTTTTTTTTTTTTTTTTTTTTTTTTTTTTTGTAAATTTACTACTTTAGAAATTCTGTGACGTTAAAACTTATACATAATAGCATTATGAGCATACCTATAGAGACGACATGTCGATGGTATAGGTGCATCTATAGAGATGACATGTTGTCTCTACAGGTACATCCACCACGACAATACATTGTTGCTTTGGGATGACACGTATTTACTGTATATCTCTATCTACGGAGACGACATGTTGTCTTTATAGCTGTATCTATGGAGACGACTTGTTGTGTCGATAGACGCACCTATAGAGACCGGAGATGACATGTCGTCTCTATAGCTTTATCTATGGAGACTAATATCGTATAGCGACGAACCAAAAAAGAACGACATGTTGTCTCTAAAGACTACCTATTGCGACGGTATTTATAGCGACCACAAAAAGATGTATTGCAATGGGGCTATGGTGACGAGAGCTATAGGAACGACATGTCGTTCCAGAAACCTATAGGGATGACTTTTGAACCTATAGAGACAACATTTGTCGTCCCTATAGGTCCCGTTTCTTGTAGTAAGCAATAAAGAGTTAAATATCGTTCACTCATAGTCCTCTTTTACTTCTTTTAAATGCATCACATTATATGCTTCCGTTTAACGCGATATTATAAGCGAGTTTTGTAGACTAAGATGCTGAGCCATACAACTACCTTCTGAAACCCGATATCATTAAATGTCACATTTTCATGTCTCGTCTTATGGAATCAAACAAAATTATTATAACAATTATTGAATTATATTACAATATTAGAATTATTGAACTTGCAACAGTTTCCATATTTTCGAAGTACATCTTGAAATGAAAGGTACTGTAAATGGAAACCACCTATGTTTAGAGGAGTTTTCATAGTACAGAACATGTTTCCTGGGCTGAAAGAGGTACCTAGAACCATACGTCCACTGAAATACGTCTTTCAACAACGGAAATTGCAATGTAGCAAATAAAAGAACCGGCATTGTAGCAAACAGGGTGATAAGAATGGGTATCCATTTCAGATCTTTATGGTATAGCACAAAGAAGCTAACACTAAAAGCAACCATCATGGTTGTTATCGAGAGGAAAAGTGTTGCTAGACCTAACATTAGCCTTTTGGGTAATGACTCCAAGAAATCACGTTCGGCGTAACGAGAAGTAAGGATAGATAAGAACATGAGTATTGATGTTGATGCTGAGAACAAAGACATAGCATCTGCCAACACGAAAAGTGTAAATGTTCTTTTTCGATAAAAGAAAGGGATACCATTGTCTTGATTGTATCCACCTGGAACTGTAAAAGCCGCCGCGAATACAATGGTGGCAATAAGCGTCGCAACCACCATACACTGACTAGCCGTTCCTTTCATCCATTCCTCACCTTGTTTGACTAAATCTTTGTGTTCCTTAGTGAATAAATCGTGTGGTGTTAGACCATCTTTGTTCTTCATTTCCCGATAAGAAGGAGGGATCATCTCTTCTACTTCCTACAACATAAAACCGAGTAGATCGATTTAAGTCAACTATGCAATTCAATCATAAAGAACATGAACATGCATGGATACATGAAAGTTTCATTGATATAAAACAAAAAAACTAAACTTATACATAAAAAAGAAGAAATTTCATAGGGGCATCCCCCCTCCGCTTAGTCTATAGATATAGATCCGCACATGGTTGCATAAACATAAGTGGGTTGCATTTTAAAAAGTTTCCTACAAAATCCTCTAACAATGTATATTACACAAATGTCAGATATTCACGGATGAAAATGAGGCAATAAAGAAAAAAAAAAAAAAAGGAAGATAACGTAGGGAGAATTAATACATACCCTGAACCACAATAGTTCTCGTTGCATCTGCAATGCAACTCCAGATACATCCTCAAGTTGCTTTTTCTTGGCTTTCCTCCCAACTAAATGCAACATATTGTTGTCATTTTTATCTTTAAGAGGAGTTATCAGGTCCTTCATTGAGCCTATCTCATATAATATATTGTAGATCCCCTCGTGACGATGTTTGACAGCAATGTGAAATATACTTTGGCCATCATCGTTTAGTTTCCATATCAGATCAGGATATTTACGGATGAGCTCAACTAGAAATCTAGTGTTGCCCATCTTTGCAGCAACAAATAATATTCGAGAAGAGTATTTTGTTTTTACATTATGCTCCGATACTGCATTCGGACCTTCTGAAGCTGTAGCAGCAGGCTCTTTGTTTTTCTGCATTTTGACGACATTATCAGCAATGAGTTTTAGTAGTTGCAGTGTTTGATTGTCCTTGTCAGAAGCTGGTTTATCATCTTGATTGATGGGATTATCAGGCGGCCCTCTGAGTATGTTATCAATTTCCTCCTTTGGCTTCTCCGCAATATTTTGCCAAACGATTTTTAGTAATTCTAATGCTTTCATTTTATTTTCCTTCTCAGAAACTCCCATCTTTGGATGCATGACCCTAAAAACTAAAAGCAACAACCAGAAAAGAAGCCACGTTCATAATGTATACCAGATATTACAAGGATGACATTAATTAATTTGAAAGTACTAGGTTTGGATCTCCAAAAATCAAGGAGTAGAGAAGCTTACGCCAATATATGGTTCTTTTGATGATATTAGATTCTGTTTCAGCAAATGCTTCGGTCTTTCGAGCCAAAATTTGAAGCAAACTTCCAGTACCACAAAGTTCCTGGCGATCTTTTACTATCTGTAGTGCGATATCTGAAGAAAAATATTTGACAATCTCTCTTTGTGAGGGGAAAATTAATCTATTTGACAAAAGCAACAAAAGCCAACAATGAAGGAGCAAAGAAAAGTACAACAATGAAGGAAGGAGTATGACCCTGTAATTATCCTTTATATATAAAAGGCAAATTAATAATAACAGATTGTAACTAGTTACAACATTTTATTACTAATTTGCCGTTTATAAAGGATAACTACAGAAACACCCTTCGTCATACTCCGATAGATCAATAACTAAAAGCTAAATCGCTTACCAAACATATTACTCTCGGCACACTTGTGAAGAAGCCACTCACAATTTTCAGGTGTCCAACAAGTATGACGCAACTTGTGGGACCTTTCATAAAAATACTTGGCCACGTCTTGATGTCCAAACAGGACAGCCATATACAGTGGTGTCATTCCGTTACCACAAACCATTCCCACTAAAGCTCTATTTTTGTTCACCATAATCTCAACTATTTTAAGGTTTCCAGCTGCAGCTGCTAAACAGAGGGCAGTGTTGGAACTGTTATTACGAAGTTCGAGGTCCTTTTCATTCATGTATGTCAGAAGATGTTCCACAAACTCTTCCACATGTTTGCTTCTTTTTGCCGATGCAGCAACATGAAGTGCGGTTTCATCATTTTCAGTGATACTATACCTTACCAACTCTGGCCTTTCATCAAGAATGGCTTTAGCAGCTTTCCAATCACCTTTAATCGATGCTTCATATAGAGGGACGGCAGTTTTGATGTAATCTTTTCTACTTCCTATGAAGTATAGTTACAATGCAAAATTAGTACCACATTCATCCGGGACAATTGAAGTATATATTCTTTAAACTCTTTAGCATCATTAAACATTAATACTAGTCCATGGGCGTGTTTGGCAAAAGTAGCTGTTAGCTGGAAGCGGGTAGCGGTTAGCTGGTAGCGGGTAGCTGGTAGCTGGTAGCGGGAAGTTGTAGCTTTTATTTGTTATATGAATGTTTGGCAAAAGTAGCTGGAAGCTTTTGAAATATATAAAATTACATAAAATGACAATTTATTAAAAATAAAAAATATATATAAATATATTTTTAAGGGTAATTATGGAAATTGATTTCAAAAGCTCCGGAGCGTTTTGTTAAAAGCTACATGAAGTAGCTTTTAGAATCGAAGCGTTTTGTTAAAACTAAAAGCTAAACGCTTGTACTGCCAAACGAAGCTTTTTGTTTAAACTAGAGCGTTTTGTCAAAAGCTAAAAGCTAGAAGCTCCCAAACGCTTCCAAAAGCTCCATGCCAAACACGCCCCATACATCATATTGAATAATATGATCATAGAGGATGAAGGAAAAACAATTTGTCACTGTAATGAAACTAAGAATTTAACAATATTGGAAAGAGTAGTTATTGGTACACCATAATATTGACTTGGCAACACAATTACTCTTCTCCTCTCATTCTTCGTGTCATACATGCATATGCAAAGCATGCCTCTAGCAGTTTATGTTTACTTTCATTTGTTTGAATAAGTCTTTGCCTAGTTGACAGTGGTTTCCTATTTTTCCTAGCTTAGTGGTTAGTTATTTTCCTTGCAGTTTATGCTCTCGTTTGTAAGCCTATATGGCAGATTATCTTCTCTATTTTTACGCATCAATATACACAAGTTAGGTTGTGTTAGTATTTTTAGGTTGTGTTTGTTTTAAAAAAAAGCTCTTCTAACCTCTTAATGCTGCATGGCGCAGCACACGCGCAACACTTTTAAGTTCGCAGCAGTTTGTTTTTCCGTAGACTTCGGGCTCAAAAACCTCTTCCCGTTCTCTTCCCCACACAACATTAGGCATGACTCTTCTAACCACTTATAACCTCATCTAAAAAAACACGCTACAAAAAAAAAAAAAAAAAAAAAAAACGCTACAACCTAAACAAAAAAACAACGCTCCATCCCCCTTCTTCTTCTTCGTTCTCAGCTCCAAGATTGGTCGTCGCTGCCCCTCCCTCGCCGGTCGCCAATGTTGCTGCCAAGAGCAATTTCTTAGCACCCTTCGCATCAGGTTAGTTTTTTTTTTTTTTTTTTTTTTTTTTTTTAAATATTTATAATAGGGTACAGATTCTGTTGTACTTGATATTCTATTTGGTGAAAATGGACGATTTGGTCTATCAATAGTGTTATCATCTTTCCACTTTGTTATGCAAGAATGGAATGAATCATCACAAGGCAATGAAAAAGCATATTCGTTTGTTTCAAAGTTAGCTTCTGTGATGAAGTAATGATTAGGAATGTCAAAAAGTCCTGTGGGACCCCGATCCCGCGGGGGCTCCGTCCCGTATGGGGCATTTGTTGAAAAAAATCGGGGATGGGGGCGAGGGCAAGGTTAACCCCCGTTTTAATTTCGGGGGCGGGGGCCGGGGTTGGTAGTCCCGTCCCGAAACCCCCGTGGGGTCCCCGTTAATAAATTATATAAATTGACACGTGTTAATTATATAAGTATAATAAACAAAAAAAATGATTTTTACGTACAAAAATTCAACAAAAAACATGTTTTTAAGTTGTTTGTAACATGTAAAATTATGTTATAAATATCTATTTGTTATGCAAAAAATAGTTTCTTTTAGCCAAAACAAGAACTTATTTTAGCTCAAAATCAATCGGGGGCGGGGGCGGGGGTTGGTAGTCCCGTCCCGAAACCCCCGTGGGGGCCCGTTAATAAATTATATAAATTGACACGTGTTAATTATATAAGTATAATAAACAAAAAAATGATTTTTACGTACAAAAATTCAACAAAAAACATGTTTTTAAGTTGTTTGTAACATGTAAAATTATGTTATAAATATCTATTTGTTATGCAAAAAATAGTTTCTTTTAGCCCAAACAAGAACTTATTTTAGCCCAAATAAGTTAGCTTAAAATCAATCGGGGGTGGGGGCGGGGGCGGGGGTGGAAAGGATGGAGATTTCGGGGGTGGGGGTGGGAGAACGAGAAAATTTTGGGGGCGGGGTTAGGAGATGCAATCCCCGTTCCGTTTGCCCCCGTTGACATCCCTAGTAATGATAGGCTGAATTGAATGAACCATCTTTGATGTAATGAAAACATGTCTTTTTACCATGTATAAATATGAAAGATTTTTTAAGAAATTATTATTTGCTATTTGATTGATTTAATTTCTTAATTCAATACATTTTTCATTCTTTCAACAGAAAAAATTTGTTGATGAGATTTGAATAATCATTGGTAAAATCTTTGTTGAAATGGATTTTTTTTTTAATTTATTTGCTCAATTGTTATCACTTGTATTTGTTGAATGGAGATCAAGTTTATGCTTATATGCAAGTTTGTGCTTAAATATGTTGAATATGCTAAACTTTTTTGTTGATTGTGTTGTATAATCTTTGGTTATATGGTTTTTTTTGTTCGTTCATGATGCATTGTTGTTGAATATGTTAAACTTATTTGTTGATTATGTTGAAATATGATTAATCTTTGTTGCTAAAGTATGTATTTATATATATATATATATATGTGTGTGTGTGTGTGTGTGTATGTGTGTGTGTGTTATTAGCAATAGGAGATCAAAATACATGGACCAATGAGCAAACAAAATGCTTATTGCTCACTTGTATTGAAGAAGTACAAACCGTGGGTAGAAAAGATTTGAGTTTGCATAAACAATCATGGCACAAGTTAGGAACAACCATTAAGGAGAAGTATGGCGTGGATTTGAATCAACGACAATTAAAAAACACATATGATAACCTTAAAGCCAAATACACAGGATGGTTATACTTAAAAAAGCAAAAGTGAAAACTTTTACAATCCACAAACAAATACTTTTAACTTAACAAATGAGGAGTGGGAGGACTTTAAAAAGGTATATATATATATATATATATACACACACATTTTTATATGTATATTGTTTATATAGTTGCCATTAATTCTTATATTAGTTTTGTTATATTGATTGGATTTAGGCACATCCGAAAGTCGCTTCTTTGAAAACCGTCCCATTGTTGTTTCCATAGCTTTGTGCAGAACTCTTTGATGGAAACAGTGCATCTGGTAATCTCAGTTATGCCACATCCCAAACACCATCGGGATAGGGATAATCTTTTTTCCATGTCGCACCACTAAAGCTTATGGACGCCCCTTCCATTAACATAGATAAAGACGATTATTTTTCCAATCATACTAGTGCGCATTTTACTCAACAACCACCTTTTGTTGCTTCACCTTCTGCTGTTTCACCTTCTGGTAACCCTAACAAAAGAGCTAAACCCTCAACTCTTAGACCTCGAGTTCATAGTGCCTCACTTGATCCACCTTTGTGTGCCTCGCCTAAAGCTTCTATTACTACTGATGATTTAGAGAAGCTTGAGTTGCTCGAGTTAGGCCCAGTAGACCCTCTACGATTTGTTGTGTATCACATTTTTGGAGGGACCATGAATATAAGAGAGATATGGGTAATTTGCCCAATGATCCAAAGATACTAAGAGGATGGATCGAGATGACAACTACAAGTTTAGGAGTTCTAAAGGATGGAAAGATTGTTTGTTAAGTTTATGTGTTTGAGTTGTTTAGGTTTTATTTGCTTGTTTTGGAACTATATGGTTATGTTTTTTGGTTATTTGCTACTTGGATGTTATTTGTAGTATTTGGTACTTGAATTTTATTTTTTTGGTACTTGAATCGTATGTTATTTGGTACTTGAGATTTATGTTATGTTATGTTATTTGGTATTTGAATATAATGTTATTTGGTATTTGAGTTTTATGTTATGGTTTTTGGTATTGGAGATTTATGTTTTTTTTGGTACTTGAATCTTATGTTATGTTATGTTTTGTTGATTAATAGGTTCGTAATGGATCACGATAAAAAGATACTACTCATAATTCTAATGTACTTGTACGTCCGCTACTTTTGGAAGAGGGGTGTCAAACGAGTGCGGGGAAACGATTCGGAAATGACATGACATGAATTTACGTTAGAGTTACTTCACCGTAATCCTCTACAATGTCTTTAAGTTCTACTCATGTCCCGTGAATCATTTGTCTGACTATGTTCTCAATTTACAGTAAACTACGCGTTAAAGGATAGCAAACATGTGTCAGTTGAGGAGAAGATGACAATGTTTTTGATGATGATTGGTCATAACCAACATTATGTGATTATCAAGCGGAGATTTCAACACTCAAAGAAAATAATTCATAAGTTTTTTCATGATGTGTTGGACAAAATGTTGCTTTTCGCACATGACATTATAGTACCAACTTCTTTTAATCCAAATCCAAACATTCCGGGACATAATAGAGGCTACGGCGGATGTTCCAAGGAGCAGTTGGTGCACTTGATGGCACTTTGATACATGTTGTTGTCCCTGCAAACAAATGATATTTATATAGAAGTAGGGGAAAAGACGATTGTTACCAAAACGAATTGGCAATATGTGACTTCAACATGATGTTTACATTTGTTGTGGCCGGTTCGGAAGGGATAACACACGATTCTAGAATTTTATCATAAGCATTAGCAAATCCACATGCACCATTTCCGCTTCCACCATCAGGTAAATTTATGGTTATTTAAATAGTTTTATCTTAGTTTGAAAAATAAATCTTTTTTTTTGTTTTTTTTTTTTTACAGAAAAATATCATCTTTGTGATGCCGCCTATGCAAACATTCGAGGTTTTATGGCACCATACCGTAATGTAAGGTATTGGCTTGGAGATTTTCGTCGAAGACATGCATTAAAGAATAAAGAAAAATTTAACCATGCACACGCAAAACTTCATAATGTCATTGAGCGTGCTTTTGGTGTCTTGAAAGAACGATTCCCTATATTGAAGAGGATGTCACAATTCTTGTTGGTTACACAACGAAACATTACCCTAGCATGGTTTGCGCTTCATAATTTTATAAGAAGAGAGGGACTACATGATGAGTATTTTGCACGATATGATGAAGCAAATGTCTCGGTTCTGAATAACAATGCAGTCGTTGATAATGATGAAGATGAGATTCCAACACATGGTACTGCAACGGACCGTGAATATATGACCCAGTTACATACAGAATGAAATTGGCGAACAATTGATGCAAAATATGGAATGAGAATTATTAAAGTTTGGTTGTATGATTTTTATTTAAAAATGTTATTGTAAGACTAATTTGGATGTTTGAACTTTATTTCAATGTTTTAAGACTACAATTATTAAATTTTTGGTATTAAATAACTATTTTCGGTTTATTAAATTACTTTGTTTTAAATTTTTTAATATCTGCAGCAGCTTGCAGACGTTAAAAAAACAAACACGCTTCTCATTACAGTCTGCAGCACTTTGGTCCACCTTTTCTGCTGCAGATGGCTGCAGAGGTGGTCTGCAGACTTCAGATAGTTTCACTTCGGAAAAACAAACAACACCTTAGTGTTGTGTAATTATCTCTCTTCTACATATAATTTTGTGTCTCTTGTTTTGTACAAGATACATAGCTTATCTTTAAGTTAAAAAACTAGTATCAAAGCCAATCCATTGCTGAACTCTAAGTTGTTGGTGGTGTGAAGAGACTCAGCAATCAAAATCACAATACGTGGTCCACTTGCATCGTATTTGCAAGGTCAAGATCTGTGGGAGGTTGAAAAAGGTGTTGAGACAATTCAACCTGAAGTGGAAGACAACAATGATGTTTTACAGAAATGGAAGATCAAGGTGGGCAAAGTTATGTTCATTTTGAAGACAATGGTAGAAGAAGATTTGATCAAACATATCAGAGACGTGGTGAACCCAAAGGAAGCAAGGGACACATTGTTTGTATTATTCTCAAAGAAGAATGAAACTAAACTCCAGCTTCTAGAGAACGAACTTCTTTTGGTATCATAGCATGACATGACTATTCCTCAAATTTTCCACAAAGTCAAAACTATATGCATAAAAATTATGAAACTTGATTAGAGGCGCGAATTGGTGAAACAAGGATGAAATGTATCCTAATTCATGGCCTAAAACCAGAATTTAGAAGTTTTATTGTTGCGATCCAAGGATGGCCAACACAACCATCTCTTACTGAGTTCGAGAATCTGTTAGCAAGACAAGAAGCTTTAGCGAAAGAAATGCATGTTGTATAATTGTATTTGTAAAAATAGAAGAAGAGGCCTTGTATGTGGAAAGAGGGAAGGGGAAAGGAAAATTCAGGTCAAACTAAAGCTATGTCCAAAAGCATTACTCAGAAAGACATAAAAGTCAAGATTCAGAAAAGAAGTCTTGTCAATTTCTCAAAGAAGGGTCATCGAGAGAGAAGAATCATAAATATGTTATGAAGAATAATTCGATTTCTGTATCACAATTAACTTTAGCCTAACACTTTGTATTGCTTGGTCCTGATGACATCAAGACTTACAAGCAATTTCATAATCCATCAACAACAATCCTATAAGGACATCAGTGTGAGTCCATCTATGTTCTCTCTTCCGAGTCAACGTATGTAGACAAGACAAAAAGAACCAGAATGTAGACTTATGGCATATACATTTGAGCCATGTCAACTATGAAAAGCTTGATTTAATGATGAAGAAGAAAATGGTTAATGTTTTACCACAAATAAAAGTGAGAAAAGATATTGTATGTAATGGTTGTCAATATTAGAAGGCTCATCAACAACTATATGAAAGATCAAGCTATCAACCTAAAGCTCCTTTGGAATTGGTGCAATCTGATCTGTTCGGACCAGTCAAACAACCATCAATTAAAAGTATAAAGTATATGGTGACCTTTATAGATGATTTTTCACATTATGTATGGGTATAATTTATGAAAGAGAAGTCTGAGACTTTTTCCAAGTTCAAAGACTTTAAAGATGAAACTGAAAGAATGGTCAAAAAGATTATACATTGCCTTCGTTTAGATAATGGTGGGGAATATCTTGCAATTGAGTTTGCTAACTACCTAAAGGCACATAAGATTGGAAAACACTTAACATGTCCCAGCACCACACAACAGAACAGGGTCTCTGAAAGAAAAAATCATCATTTTGTTGATATATATGGAAGTATGATACATGACAAAAAAATCCTTGGGTGTTTATGGGCTAAAGTTATGAGAACAACTGCTTATGTTATCAACATAATTCCTCATCAAGGTATGCAATATGTGTATCCATTCTAAAGAGTGATGAATGTCAAGCCAAATGTAAGCCATCTCCAAGTTTTTGGATGTGTATGCTATGTGTTTATACCAGGGCATCTTGGTCACAAGATGGAAAAAAAAGCTACTAAATGCATATTTGTAGGGTACCATCAGGAAAGAAAAGAATGGTGGTGTTGTGATCCATTCGCCGTGAAATGTTATGTGTCAAGAAATGTTGTCTTTAATGAAACATCATCATGGTGGTCAACAAACCATGAAATCCTACCAGATTCTGAACAACTTAAGGGGGAGTTAGAGTCTTTTAAAGTTAGCTTCAATCTTGATGAAAAAGAGATTGTAGTTGAAGATAATGAAATTAAAGTACAAAACCAACAACCATGGCAAACCAGTGTGTTTAATCAAACCAATGTCACCGATGAGAACGTTGAAGCGACAACCCCTAGAAGATCTACCAGACTCAGAAGGCTAAACCCTAGATATGCTAATACTAAAATAGTTGAAAGCAATGTTGTTGAACCAGATTCGTCTGATCAAGAACACACAAAACAGGAGGGGGTCAAAGCGATAGAAGAAGTGGTAGCCCTAATGAGAAACGAAACTTGGGAATTGGTTCCAAGGACCAGTGATGTGAAATCCATTTCATGTAAAAAGGTAGATAGAGTCATCCCATCCGATGCCTTTTTCATTACCGCTCCGTGTATACAAAGTAAAATATCGAGCAGATGGTACTATAGAGAGATTCAAAGCCCACCTAGTAGCCTATGGATTCTCTCAACAATATGGCTTGGATTATGGGGACACTTTCAATCTAATAGCCAAACTCACTAGTATACTTGTTCTCTTAGCCCTATCAGCAAATAAGCGTTGGAATCTGTGGTAGATGGATGTGAGCAGTGCATTTTTATATGGCGATCTTGACCATGTAAAACACATGGAGCAACCAGAGGTTTTGAAAGTAAGAAGTTTCTCAATCACGTGTGTAAGCTCAAGAAATCTCTCTATAGACTTAAACAGTCACCAAGGGCATGGTTTGGCAAGATAGGTTAGTTTCTCGAGCATAACGTGTGTAAGCTCAAGAAATCCCTCCATGACCATGGCTGATGCGAGTCTCTTTGTGAAGAAAATTAGAAACAAAGTGGCAGTGGTACTGGTGTACGCTGATGACTAGATTATTACAGGCGATCTTGATGAACATATTGTACAATTGAAAGAGAACTTGAGCACTCGTTTTCATATGAAGGACCTTAGCAAGCTGAAACACTTTCTAGGGTTGGATGTAAACTATGAAGATGACGATATAGTGTTGCATCAACGAAAATATGCTACTGATCTGTTAGAGAGATTTAGCATGC